TCTAAGCGAGGTTATGAAAAATCGAGACATGCCAATGAAAGAGAAAAGAAAACTGTACAACACATGTATTCTGCCATGTTTGACATACGGGTGTCAAACATGGGCACTAACGGAAAATTTAAAAAGGAAAATAAATGTATGCCAGAACGGAATAGAGAGAAGTGTGATTCAAGTAAAAATACAAGACAAGGTAAGACTAGAAAAAATTAAGGAAATAACTAAATTTAAAGACGCAGGGAAACTATGTAAAACACTAAAATGGCAATGGGCAGGGCATATGATAAGAGAGAGGAATATGAAATGGACAAAGACAATATCAGAATGGTACCCCAGAGATGGGAAAAGGAGCAAAGGGCGACAACCAAAACGCTGGGAAGATGACCTAAGGAAAACTGCTGGACTAGAGTGGATGAGAATTGCGAGGGATAGGGAAAACTGGAAATCTTTGGAGGAGGCCTATGTCGAAGGACAAGCTGGGGGTAAAACTACTGATGTATAGTATAGTAATATAGACTAAATTGTAAATTTGTAACCTCAGTAATAAAGGCTTATTTTATTTATTTTATTTATTTATGTAGCGTGATGTTTTATTGGGCTCGCTGTCATTGTAGCGGTAAGGTCCTCTTTAGACGAATCACCTAATGGTAAGCAATCGGCGCCGCCCATGGACACCTGAAACTCCAGAGGCGTTACGTTACCGTACTTTTGGGAATTGGGATTTTGAGGATTGTGGGGCATTTAGAGATTATTGGGCCTCAGGTAACATCACTCGCACGACGAAACACAACGAGATTTTAAGATTCAGAGAAAGCGCGTTCAAACAAACTAACTCTTCAGCTTTATGTATGGTATTAGATAAGATATACAGACAGTAATCACGAACATGTGGATGAGTGTTTGTATGTATGTGCCTGTTCTTGTTCGTATTCGCCACTGTACCGCTTGGGTATCGAACAGTGGTGAACACAATCAGAACAAAGGCTGTTCGGCAAACAGTTTGCGATGTTTCCACACGCTTGCTACACATCAATAATGTTGTGTTTGGTATTTGTGGACTAGAAAGCACTCGATTCCTACTCCTGCTTCGAGTCCGGGCCCCGACAACCCGTTAAGTCTTCGTATCGGGCAATTATTTGCTACTTTTAAAATCTGGTCTGTTATTTACTGATTTTAAACTTTTTATGCAAAATCGGCTGCATGTTAATCAAGTTTGTCTCTCGAGTGTGAGTCGTGTCATCACGTGTTGGTACGTAGTACGTACAGCGTGCATGTGTGTGTGCTTGTGTGCTTGTGTGCATTCGTGTCTGTATCACATGCACTGGGTACCTACTAGCCACACAGGCAATATTCTTGATAAATACTACAAGGTCAGACGATGTTACGCTTCAGTGAATCAGCAACTTTCGAATTTGTTTCACACACATCTGCCAGTAGGTACTTCAATAATGTGTGTTTCTGTTTACCTAATTGAAATATGTTTGCTCGCAATTTATTTTATTAATATAGAGTCCTTGATAATATTGTATGAGGCTAACACATGCGTAGGTGTATGAGGCTAGCACATGAAAAATACCTACTTAGTTGCCCCCTGGTTTTAATTTATTGTGTATTATTGTCCGCATGTACGACCTGTGTGAATTTGGCACTGGTAAAATTGTTTTTTTTCCAATGGTTTTTCGAAAGATTTCGTTTAGTAGTGGATAGTGGTGAAGCTATTTTCGTTAATAGTAATACCGAAAACATAGAAAAAATATTAAAAAAATGTCATCCCCCGAAATTAAAAAAATCAGTTTTTTCCGGCTGTTTCTCATAGATGAACGTTAGTGGTGGATTGTATTGCAATTTTATTCGTTTGTAGTAAAATAGAAAAAGAGATGAAAAATAGTTCGGAGTATTTTTTAAAAACAATTTTTATGACCTAAATACTGTTTCAAGGAATATACGATTACTACTAACTTTAGAATTGACTGAAGAGGGTTCCAAGACGTTAGTAGAATAATTTTCGATAGTAGTCAAGACACTAGTTGATTAGAAGCACTGGAGTTGGGATAAACTTGTTTCGTAGCGATATTTATTGGGAAAAATCTGTTTGAAGATAAATACGACTACTACAAACGTTATATATTATTAAAAAAAGGTTCGTAGAGGTAAGTAGTGAAAGAATTTTCGATAGTAGTAACGATGCGTGTCGATTGAAAGCACTTGAAACGTTTAAGTATTATGTTATTACCTAATTTATATCATGCGCACATTTTCCGCGTTGGGCTCAAAACCAATGTTTAGTAGGCAGTAGGAGCCTTTTTATTCTCTTCACTTGGATTTGTCAACACTATTGGACAATGTCTAATGACATTGGTTTTGGACATTGTCATTGGTTTAAGGGAAATCTTCTATCCAATAAATCTGTACAGGTTCAATTCTGTACATGAAATACCTATATTTCCAAAATAATTATCAGGGAGTGATTAGGGATCAATACTGATGCCAAAAATACAACGAGTAAAATTGTATCTGTCTGTATAACCGTTATAGAAACACAAACTACTTACTCGACGGATTTAAAAAAAATACTCCTGTTTTGGTTATAATCTTATAATATGCCTACTGTTCATCGCGCTACAATCAATAGGATAAAATGTTACTCCAGTGATAAAATAGATTAGATAACTAGAACATAGAAAAAAAATAGAAACAGTCTGAAGTTGACAGGCTTTTTTTAAGGGGGGAAGATCATCGAATGACTGCTCCCGCCTGGATGAGGCGGGAGGGTCAGACGCTTACTGACTAAAACCACCCCGTTCCTACTCCTGCACGTCGAGCCGGAGCCACGGCAACCCGTTAAGTTCTCCGCGACGAATTTGACAGGCTTTTTTTTAAGGGGGGATATTCATCGATGCGGTGTCAAGATTTTCCGCGCAATAATCACCTTCGACCGTGTTTCTTTTACCGATTGAGTTTACTTTAAAGTTCTTGAGTGTGTCATAGATGATCTTTGGTTGATTAAAAAATTGTCGTTGTTCTAATTTGGTTGAAAAAGTATTGGCTTTTTTTAAGACTTTGACTGCCAATAAAAAAATTGTTGAAGGTAAATCCTCCGCTAACGCCGGTCACCGGTGACCGCCATGGCGTTTAACGTGTTAAGAGGGGAAAATCATCGAATGACTGCTCCCGCCTGGGTGAGGCGGGAGAGAGTGTCAGACTCTTACTGACTAAAAACCACCCCGTTCCTTCTCGTGCAAGTCGAGCCGGAGCCCCGGTAACCCGTCAGGTTCTCCGCGACTCCGAATCGGCATCGGCCCAAGTTGACAGGCTTAGGTTTACGGTTTTTAAGATAACTTAACATAAAGGAAAAAATTAGTTATCAAACTTTAACTAACATAATCTGTTATATTTTATCCTCTTACTGTTTACTCCACTGATAAAATATAACAGATGTAACCTACTGTAAAGATAAATGTAAGTGGAAAAATAAATAAATAAATAAATAAAATAAATAAATACTTATTTTTCATAACAGCAAGCAATTAAATGCATAATAATGAACTTTATCGAACCTCATTCCTTACGTCTTACTTATTTATGCTAAGCTTGTTTTGATGAAGAAATTAAAATGATTACCTATTGCAACACCTAGTTATGTTTGTTGTTATTTTAATAATTGTTTATTTAACAAAATAAGTTGTGTAGCTTAGTGATTACATAAATATAAAAATGATTTGTTTTACTACTTACCCACTGATAATTAGAAGTCGGTACCCCAAGTCGTAAATTAAATTATTTATGATTATAAACTACGTCTAAAAATCCGACTTCGCCCCTCTCTTTTGAAGTCGGTTAACTAATATTCAAAAGCCTTTTCCTAAGTGTTACAATCCCTTTTCTGAAAAGCGCATCAATCGCGAGATAATCGCGCACAAACAAACATACCTACATACATGCAGGTCGAACATGGAACAAACAAACATACCTACATACATGCAGGTCCAACATGGAACAAACAAACATACCTACATACATGCAGGTCCAACATGAAACAAACAAACATACCTACATACATGCAGGTCCAACATGGAACAAACAAACATACCTACATACATGCAGGTCGAACATGAAACAAACAAACATACCTACATACATGCAGGTCCAACATGGAACAAACAAACATACCTACATACATGCAGGTCCAACATGGAACAAACAAACATACCTACATACATGCAGGTCGAACATGGAACAAACAAACATACCTACATACATGCAGGTCGAACATGGAACAAACAAACATACCTACATACATGCAGGTCGAACATGAAACAAACAAACATACCTACATACATGCAGGTCCAACATGGAACAAACAAACATACCTACATACATGCAGGTCCAACATGGAACAAACAAACACACCTACATACATGCAGGTCGAACATGGAACAAACAAACATACCTACATACATGCAGGTCGAACATGGAACAAACAAACATACCTACATACATGCAGGTCCAACATGGAACAAACAAACATACCTACATACATGCAGGTCGAACATGAAACAAACAAACATACCTACATACATGCAGGTCCAACATGGAACAAACAAACATACCTACATACATGCAGGTCGAACATGGAACAAACAAACATACCTACATACATGCAGGTCGAACATGGAACAAACAAACATACCTACATACATGCAGGTCCAACATGGAACAAACAAACATACCTACATACATGCAGGTCCAACATGGAACAAACAAACATACATGCAGGTCCAACATGGAACAAACAAACATACATGTAGGTCAAACATGGAACCTCTTTCTATTTGAAGTCAGTAAAGTCATGAATAGTAAGTACATAGTACATGACAGAAATTATAATTATGTAGCTGTATAATATTGGTAAGTTTTTTATTATGGGCTTGTGGCACCGAGTTGCAATCTATCAGGTTGTGAGTATCATTGTGCAATGAAGAATATAGCGGGTGTCGTGGCAGGCCAGTACTGCATGCCGGCGGAGGGCGTGCCGCTGTCGCCGCGCGGCGCGCTGCTGTCGCGCGACGAGCTGCTGCGGCTGGCGCGCGTGTTCGTGGCGGCCGGCGTGGACAAGGTGCGGCTGACGGGCGGCGAGCCCACGCTGCGCGCCGACCTGGCCGACGTGGTGCGCGGGCTGCGCGAGGCGGGCGTGCGCGCCGTGGGCATGACCACCAACGGCCTGGTGCTGACGCGGCGCCTGCCCGCGCTGCAGCGCGCCGGCCTGTCCGCGCTCAACGTGTCGCTGGACTCGCTGCGCGCCGACCGCTACGAGCGCATGGCGCGCCGCCCGGTACGATATGCTGACTACATACTGCTACATGCTTCGAAGGTGGCGACATATACACACTCGGTTTCCGAGTCGGTATGTGGCGCCAAATAAAAGTATAGCCTATGTTACTCCTTACTACATCAGCTACCTCCCAGTAAAAATCCCGTCAAATACTATCCAGCTATTTCAGAGATTAGCCTGTACAAATAAACAGACAGATAGACGAAAATTACAAAAAAAATGTTATTTTGGTATGTGTCGTATGTATATTCATATGCATGTACATTGTACATAGTTAAAAGCGGTTATTACAAACTGACACTCCAATCATATTTATCTGTATGTTTGTACATAATTATAGGCATATACATAATATAATAACTTAATTACATAATACATGTGCATGTAAACCACGAATCACGGTAAAGCCTAATATTTCCCAGCACTTGACAATGAAAGACCGAATTGTTTCGTGGTAATCTTTAATTTCCAAGTACGATGTGAGCACGCGTGCGCAGGGCCTGGCGCGCGTGCTGGCGGGCGTGGACCTGGCGCTGCAGCTCGGCTACTCGCCCGTCAAGATCAACGTCGTGCTCATGAAAGGTACGCCGCTACTGGCCCACTACTGCATGAGTAGACAGACGATGTGCTTTATAACACGAGATCCTCGCTGATTTCCAACACGTTTAGCAATATGATGATGTCATGTCGCGTGCAAAGCGTTACCTAGTGGATACGAGGTTTTTAGGTGCGCTTTGGGTACATTAGAATATATTTTGGTAAGTCCAAAATAAATTATTCGAAATTCGTTTCGTTGAAAAATATTTTTTGTGTGAAATGTAAGATATACTGTAAATAGTGGTATACCATTTTAAAATGCTTATTAAATGCGCCAACTTTAGTGCAGTACCATTTTTTTTCAGTACACTCAAAGTAAAGGTAAAAGTTTATTGTGAATATTTAGTTCGTCAAAAAATTATATAAGTATTTTTCCCAAGTAAAGCAGAGTTGGCTCAAAATGTATGATTCCATAATACTGAAACACTATTCAGGAAAACGTAAGCAAAAGTAGAGACGAAAAATTAAAGAACTATAGAGGTAGCAACTAGAACCAAAAGACTGGCACAGGGTGTACTTTTTCGTGTATAACACATTGTAATTTAAAAACTTGTCTTGGAACTTTTTGTATATATTTCTGATAACTGTTGGAATAGGTTCCAACAGTAGGCAAGGGCCTATCACCTGGATTTGATTGTCGACTTCAGGGACACCTGTATGTAAAAAGGAATGAAGATAAAGATGTTGTGTGGTGATTAATTGTTTAGTAGGCGCAAGTGGCGTCCCATGCTATTATAAAGTTTGTTAAGGACTTTACATTTTTTTACAATTTTACCAAGCTGCTTGACATCACTCAAAGTATTCGTATACAATGTACACATAAGTGCATCACATCAACAGCCTATATTTTTTCAAGGGGGAATATCATCGAATGTCTGCTCCCGCCTGGGTGAGGCGGGAGGGAGTATCAGACTCTAACTGACTAAACAACAGTCTATAGACAGCCTATATGTGACCACTGCTGACTGACCAAAGGCCTCTTCGCGAATGGAGAAGGTTTGCGATTTTGCGGTTTGCGACTCAATGCGGGATGGCGATTTCAAACTTATAATAATTATGAAATTACAAGTCCAAGTTTCCTCACGATATTATCCGTCACCGTTTGTCAGAAAGCATCTATATATAACTAGGAGAAAGTCACTTTGGCTACGTGCCGTCGTTGGTAGGTTTCGAACCCGCACCTCATGCATGGAAAGCAGGCGTTTTAAACCTCTGGCCACCACGTCAAACAACTACTTCATCATAGTAAATTCATTTAATGTCTACTACTCGATTAGTTTAAAGCTACGACCTTTCGACCTATCGTCTTGAAACTAGTCGAGCACCTTCAAAAATACACGATAAGTCTGGATATGATATTAGAAGGCTTCGCTTCACCACTTACACGTCCAACGTTCGTTTCAGGTTTCAACGACGACGAGATAAGTGACTTCGTGGAGTACACAATGGATCGCGACGTCGAAGTGAGGTAAGAAGAGACACGAAGGAGCGGGCGCGGCCGGCGCCGGGCGCGCGGTGAGCGGTGAGCGTGTTGCAGGTTCATCGAGTTCATGCCGTTCTCCGGCAACCGCTGGGACGACTCCAAGCTGGTGCCGTACCGCGCGGCCCTGGCGGCGGCGCGCGCGCGCCACGAGCTGGCGCCGGCCGCGGCCCGGCCGCACGACACGGCCACGCTGTGGCGGGCCGCGGGCGCGCGCGGCGCCGTGGGCTTCATCTCGTCCATGACGCAACACTTCTGCTCGTCCTGCAACCGTCTGCGCCTCACCGCCGACGGGAACCTCAAGGTGCGCGCCCGATATAATAATATTCCACTTGTTTGCGCGCGTATCGCGCCGGGTGCCGACTACGTCACAGTCGGGCGGGGGTTATCGCGACGCCGATACGGTGATGGTGTAACATGACACTGCTGGCCTGCGGGTGCAGCGCCTCTTTCGTCCCTAGTTTCACTTACACAGTATCACATGATATCAAAATCCCTATTTTTAACATTGAGATAAACAATAAAGGTAAGGCGCAAAAGGCGTCCCCAGTCACCCAAAGAGTACCTATAGTAAGTATGTATAGGGGAACAGACGCCTTACTTAGTCAATTTATTGTTCTATGTGACGTTGGCGTGTCAACAAAGCGCGCCTAAAACATTTCAAATATGGGAAATGCATTGTTAAATATTGTAATTCTAGAAAAAGAAATAATATTAAATTAAAAAGAATTACTTTTTACAAGAATATTACTTGTTGACGTAGTAATTTATGTGAAAGCCTAAAATGTATTCATGTAAATGATGAAACAAGTTACATTGTTAACTCCGATCTAAGACATTTTGTTATCGTTAGGTATGCCTTTTAGATCTGGAAGATTGCTTATAATAAGTGTACCAGTGTTACCAGTAGATAATAAAATATTATTTAAAATATTTCGGAATTAAAAATAATACCTATTAATGGAGATTGGTATTGTTTGGCTTAAGTCTTCTTTCTATTGCTGTAAGAATCGTCGTGACGTAGTGTTTGAGCGTGTGTATGAGTAGGTGTGCCTGTTCGGCGCGGCGGAGGTGTCGCTGCGGGACGCGGCGCGCGCGGGCGCCAGCGACGCCGCGCTCACCGGCCTGGTCCGCGCCGCGCTGCGCAACAAGAAGGCGCGCCACGCCGGTACGTAGCATTCTCTCTGTCCACTGCACGTTGTGGGTGGGACCTTTTCCACAAAGTCCTTTGATAATATTACTGACAGGTGCTCGCCATACCGAAAGCGTTCCTGTTACTGTTTCAATTTTTCATTTTATTAAATACACGTTATAAGAAGACAATCTTGCACAACCTATCTATCTATACATATATATATATATATATATATATAATAAATCTGTAGAAAAATATTTTTTGTACATTAAAGAAAATGACAAAAAAAAATAGCCAACTTGTTAAAGGATAACTAACAGAACCCATTTCCTGTTTGTCTGTTTATAATATTTTTGTTTGTGCGCGCATCACGTAAAATATACGAATACAATGCAGACAGTGCTTATATAAAAAAATTCTACGCAACTTGAAGTATAACTTAGTTTTTGTTTCATCGAAATCTGTTCACTCTATCAAAAGATATGATTAATTTTGTGAGTTGAAGAAGTAAAATATTACAACACGCAATTCAGTATAGTACTTGCAACTACACCTTACAACTAATGTTGATAGTTGAAATCTTTATTCGAGAGATGGCGTTGTGCAAAGTATGACATTTTCTTAATGGCGGTGTTAAGATTTTCCGCGCAATATTCACCTTCGACCGTGTTTCCTTTACCGATTGAGTTTACTTTAAAGTTCTTGAGTGTGTCATAGAAGATCTTTGGTTGATTGGAAAATTGTCGTTGTTCTAATTTGGTCGAAAAAGTATTGGTTTAAAAGTATTATTATTTTTATAAGACTTGGACTGCCAATAAAAAACTGTTGAAGGTAAATCCTCCGCTAACGCCGCCATGGCGTTTAGCGTGTTAAGAGGGGAAAATCTTCGAATGACTGCTCCCGCCTGGGTGAAGCGGGAGGGAGTGTCAGACTCTTACTGACCAAAAACCACCCCATTCCTTCTCCTGCACGTCGAGCCGGAGCCCCGGTAACCCGTTAGGTTCTCCGCGACGCCGTTGAAGGCTAACACCACGTTTTCCAAGTGGCAATTTTCCATCGTCAATGGGTACCTAGCGGTTCTGGCGACAGATTGGTGCAATGGTGTCATAGAGCACCTGGTTTTGTACCCTTGTGTACCCTTCAACAGTAAAGTCACACAACATTAACTATGTATAATAATACATATAATAAAGAAATCGCAATAAGGAACCTTAGACTTGGCACGACGTTGTTATATTTAATTACTTTTTAGAGATAAACTAGCAGCTCCATCGAGACTTGGCTAGTTTTTTACAGAATGATTTTGATGGGATATGATGTTACTAAAACCAGCACTGTATTTAATATAAATAACAGATGCAACTCAAACTCCGCGCCAAAATGGAAAACAGTTGTGCCAATGTAACAACTACAAAAAACACACACATTCAGGCTCGCTGCCATTGCAGCGGTAAGTCCCCTCTTTAAGGAGTGGCTTGAGAGACGCTACGGCGTCTTCACCTATCGCCTGACGTAGATCCGCACCGGACATGGAAGTTTCGGGAGGTACCTATGTCTGATGGGGCAGGAGGAAACGCCCGGGTGTCATCACTGCGAGAACCGCCCTGAGGACACGGTGGAACACACTGTAGCGGAATGCCCTGCGTGGGCTGAGCACCGCCGTGCCCTCAGGGAAGTGATCGGCGATGGCGACCTCTCGCGTCCGGGCCTAGTGCGGGCCATGATGCGGAGCGAGGGGGACTGGGATGCCGTCTCCTCCTTTTGCGAAGCAGTTATCCTAGCCAAGGAGGAGGCGGGACGCGTGAGGCAGCGAAGCGCTGCCTCCTCGCAACCCAGCCATCGCGAAGGACCAAGGCCACCGTAAGCGCAGGCCTGCAAACGGCGAGCATGGGTGGCTCCCCGTACGACCAGAAACAAACCCGATCGTACGGCGCGTCACGTTCCGCGCGCGCCTCAAAGACTCATCAGACCCCCACAGATGGGGCCCAACAGGGCCGATGCCGATTCGGAGTCGCGGAGAACCTAACGGGTTACCGGGGCTCTGGCTCGACGTGCAGGAGAAGGAATGGGGTGGTTTTAAGTCAATAAGAGTCTGACACTCCCTCCCGCCTCACCCAGGCGGGAGCAGTCATTCGATGATTCCCCCCCCCCCCCCCCCCCCTAAAAGTCAAATAATTATGTGAGTAAGCCGAAAGACAATAATTTTACAGCCTTCTTTCATAAATGGACTACCCAACATCAAGTTAATTATTCAATTAGAACCAGTAGTTAGGAGACAAACGATCACTTTCTAGCTTTGTACATATTAGTATAGATAGACTACAGACTATAACGCTAATTATTTTGATACAATTGTTTGTTTCCTGAATAAAGGTGCTTATTTTTAGTTGTGAACACGAAATGTGAACAAATATTCTTTGCTTGCTGTCAGAACATCCATTCATAGGATCCTGTATAAATCTTTTGAAGTAAGTTTCTCTTTTAAAGTCAGACGAATTATTCGAGCATTACTACAGGGGTCATGGCAGGGATATATTTGTTTCAATCATACATACGATTATTAAATTGATTAGATAAAAAAACCAAAAACTAATAACAAACAAAAAGTCAAAACTAAAAAGCAAAAAATAACTATTATTAGTACTGATAGGTTACCCACCCACTGATAGGTTAGAAGTCGGTGCCATAAGTTCCATACAAAATTATTCATTAAACCTTAATAGATACCTAATTCCTAATTAATAGATAAACTCAAACAACAGTGGTAATATGTAGTTTATGTATTGCATTTATTTATATATGTATGTATTATATAGTAATTATATCATAGTATATGTATGCATATTTGGGATATATATTTATTATATAATTCATTTTAAGACTCTATACCCTTAGTTATGTATTATCGACTATAACAATCATGTCTTCCCTCTTTAATATTTTATTACCTTAACTTCGTTATCTACTTCATACTTTCTTTTTACAATTTTGCACCTACCGCTTTAACATTCTGCACCACCCAATGGTCGACTGTCAGAAAATGCCTACGGCATTAAGTCCGCCAATTTCACTGTATGTGCAATAAAGTTTTAATAAATAATAAATAAAATAAATAAATAATTCACAATTTTGTGGACATTAAGTTATATCATTATGATATGAGCTTATGGCACCGACTTCTAACCTATCAGTGGGTGGGTAACCTATCAGTACTAATAATAGTTATTTTTTGCTTTTTAGTTTTGACTTTTTGTTTGTTATTAGTTTTTGGATTTTTGAAGTCGGTTTTTTAAACGCAGTTTTTATTTTATTATTTTATCATTTTCAGTGTTAAGTTACATATACCCGTTTTGTTACTTATAATCTACATAGGTGCAAAGTTCTAATCAATACAAATTATACAAGCCCAAATACAAGGTAGTTACAATATACCGTTGAGGAGTTTCCTTAACAATTACACTTCTTCATCATCAGACCCTTAATGACAGCCCCACTCTATCTAGGTGTAAAGTCCTCATCAATACAAATTAATTAAGCCCAAACACAAGGTAGTTACTGTATACCGTTGAGGAGTTCCCTTAACAATTACACTTCTTCATCATCAGACCCTTAATGACAGCCCCACTCTATCTAGGTGTAAAGTCCTCATCAATACAAATTAATCAAGCCCAAACACAAGGTAGTTAATATGAACCGCTGAGGAGTTCCCTCGACTGTCTGTCGGCTCCATCATCAGGTCGACTCCAGACTTATCAAATTGTAGTGTTTAAAATAAAAATCGTAATTGAAAAACATAATAGATGCACTACTCGCCCATAGAATTTTCGAAAGTTAGGATCCCATCATCAGATCCTGACCTCAAAGAAAAGGGACCATCTTGGAAGTATACCCTTTCAAACAAAAAAAGAATTTTGCAAATCGCTTCACGCATCTCAGAGTTATGCGCGTATATACATACAAAATAATAATAATAATAATAACCTCCTCCTTTTTTGAAGTCGGTTAAAAACCATGTAGGTCACGTCAGGTACCAAAAATTTGACAAAAAGCAGGGCAAACAGAATATAACACGCATTTTGTCTTTTGTTGTTATTACACTTGCACCATCATCATGCCAATTATTTTCTCGTATCTAAATATGATCCCTATGATTATAATTTATGATTTGTTAAAGTCTGATTTCAGTTAATTGTATTGAATACTTCAACAGTGTAATTAAAGTAGGTTCTGAAATTGGATTTGGATTTAGTTTATATCGGGGTGAGCGAGTGCGAGGCCTGTAGGAAGTATCCAGCTAGGCGAGCTCTTCGACATATATTTTTAGGAATGGAGAATCTGGCCCGCATGGAGAACCGTCCGATGATCCTCATCGGCGGCTAGCGTGTCTCGTGCGGCCCGCTACCGGCCCCCGCCCGGCCCGCGCCCGGCCCCGCGCTGCTCAGTGATGTGGAACGTTCACAGCGCGGACTGCAGAGCCGCGCGTCTGGGCGCTGGCGCCGCGCATCTCGTTCCCGTGGGCGCCAGCCGCGCTCGCATCCCGCGCGCGGGCCCCGGTGGGCGCCCGCGCCTACAGCTCGAGCGCCGAGGACGACGCCGGCGCCTTCTCGCACCTGGACGGCAGCGGGCGCGCGCGCATGGTGGACGTGGGCGCCAAGCCGGTGACGGTGCGCAGCGCCGCGGCCGAGTGCGAGCTGCGCGTGGGCGGGCGCCTGCTGCGCCTGCTGCGCGACGCGCGCCTGCCGAAGGGCGACGCGCTGACGGTGGCGCAGCTGGCGGGCGCGCTGGGCGCCAAGCGCACGGCCGACCTGATCCCGCTGTGCCACCCGCTGGCGCTGGACGTGGTGCGCGTGCGCGTGGAGCTGCCGCGCGGCGACTGCGAGGCGGGCGGCGCGCTGCGCGTGCGCTGCGAGGCGCGCGCCACGGCCCGCACGGGCGTGGAGATGGAGGCGCTGACGGGCTGCGCGGTGGCGGCGCTGGCGCTGTACGACATGTGCAAGTCCGTGGACCGCTCCATGCGCATCTCGGAGCTGCGCGTGGTGCAGAAGTCCGGCGGCCGCAGCGACGTGTCGCCGCCGCCGCCGCCGCCGCTGCGCGCGCCGGACCGGTCGCCGCTGGGCGAGGGTGAGACCTACGCGCCCACGAACGTCATGCACTTTTGAACTCTAGCTTGGAGTCGACGTCGGGGATCGTTCAAGTTAAGCATTCGGAAACTGCTGTTATCACAATTGTTTAAAAACAATATTTTCTTGTCCTTGATAAGGTGCTATAAAAAAATTGAGCAGGTACTTCAAATTATACAATAAAAATGCAAAATTATTTCACCAACACATAGATATGAAACTAGTAACAGAATTTTGATGTCAAAGTTAAGCAACATTAACTTAGACACAACTGATGACTGACACTTCACATTGTGATGAAGCGTAAACATTCCGTCAGCTACATTGACACGTCCTGACCAATTTTATTGTAAACCCAGACAAAACTCCTACATATAGTCAAATTATTACGTAAGCCGAAAACATAATAATTTATTTTAACTATTGTTCAAAATACCTGTATACAATTTGGTTATTGCCAGTAATAGGTTACATTCCTCATTTACTTTTTATTAGAGCAAGTTGATATAGATTTACGTACATAAACATACCTAGTTTCTAAAAGAAATTTCATTTCACTGCAAGCTGTAAATTTAGCTAAGCTAGTTTTCTTGAGTTGCTTTATGTCTTTTTCCTCCAGGCATGAATATTTAATGTCATATTATTATTGTGATACATTAAAGTAAGGGATGTTTGTGATATTTCACGGTTCGATCAGATCGTTTAATATAAAATATATAAATAACATTGCTGCAAGTTTGCATAATGAAGAAGACTCGGCGCGAACGACATTTCGATTTTATGCACAATCATTATGACTAGCATACTGGATTTATATACATATTATGTCGACGGTTTAGCCAGTAGTGGATATAAGCAAACTTGCGACATATTATGATTATGTAAATAAATGTGAGATCCACTTTACAGGCCATAGCCATGGTGTTGGGTAATTGACGACCACAAGGAAAAAAGTGAGATAACTCTCCCTTTGGCCGGGATGTGGGTCAACCTAGTACTGTGGCCAGTCTTCTTCATTCAGTAGTTCAAGACATGCAGCTGACTGGGAGCGGGAATTAGAATATAACAAACTGTTTATAGTGAAGGTCATTTGCAACATATTTGTGTATTGATAGTTACATAAATATGTAATGTATTTTTTACATTTAATAATGTACATTGTATTAGTGTACTAAATAAATATTGTATATTTTTGTATGTTTGATGTGATAAATATTACATAATTATATTGAATCTAAAATAGTAATCTAATTACTTTTAAGACAATGCTAATAAATGAGTATGATTATAACATTATATTTTTGTGTAGAAATTAAGTACTTATTACTGTGGTGAATAAATAGCAATGAAGTTAGAACTGTTTGTTGAAGTTAGAGCCATAGACAGTGTTTTCCTATCTGTCAATGGAACATAATTATTATGGAATTAAGGCTGTAAGCTATGATATTGACATGTTACATAATTAATCTGTCAAACACCAAGCGGTCACCGGTGACCGCGACCTATTGTTCTTTAATTGTGTCTATAAAACCGGTACTCGACGAGTTAATAATATTTTATACTACCAATGTTTTTTATTAAATTGTATAATATCAAAACATCCAATTTAAATTGTTTCATTCAACATGAATTTAAAATATGTTTAAACTCAACAATCATGCTGCCGTTACGCGGCCAATCTGAAGGTGCCCTATATCATAATCCTAGCATTTTACTGCATAGTTCCCGGTCCCATGAGATGTCTTTTTTTCTGGGTCTCAAACTATTGATGTACTGAATTTCCTTTAAATACCTACTTTCATTGTTTTAAGAGATATATAATCCTGGGGGAGTTAACGCATTGTTCCCATTCCCATGTGTTTTCCAGGATAAAACTAACTCGTGCTTTTATCGAGTCTCACTATCTTTATATTATACCAAATTTCAATTTCATTTATCGGTTTAGTAGATTTATAAAAAGTGGTTAAGTAAAGAGTTTTAAATTACCCCCCCTGTTCTCCCCCTTAAGGGGAAAGGAAAATTTCCAAAACTCATGCACATCTTAAAATGCCCTTACATCCATCTTAAAAAAAGACAAAATCCTTTAAGCCCTTTATTTTTAATGAAGTTAAAAACTGCTTATTTGGTCAGTAACTTAAACAAAATTTATTGCATTTATAAGCAAATAGCAAGTTAAATATTGGGTAAACTCAATAAATGAATACATGAACAATACACCAATCAGCAACAACAGCCGCAATAAGGAAGTGTTTTACTTATTGTTGACTCAGTTACAGGTGGTACTATGCTTCAATTCTATAATGTTAACAGTAAAATAATAATTGTGACTCCCAAACTATTTGTGGTCAAAATTTTAATACAATAATTAAAACAAGCAATTCACTGTCATGTAGACAGCAGCAATTAGTTGGCAAATTGTGTTCATACTTCAGACAATACCATTAGTTGCTGGTTTACAATATCAGCTCAATCTCACCCTCATTCAGTCACTAATATTGAGTAATACTTGTTTACCCACATCTTGATGTCTGGCATGTCGTAAAGATAGTAGTATATATTTCTGTCCCAAATATTGAAACGAGAAAGGTATTAGTATTATTAATAACAATATTGATTTTAAATATCATAATTAAAATTATCCACTGGCTACTAGAACATTGGACTTTGAAGGTTGCTCCGGCGCAGCCTCAGCAGCAGGTCGATCTACTCGCTGAAGGCGAATGTCGTGGCATTCAATGTACTCGTTAATCTCGCGACCTTTTTTGGTAAGTTGTTCTTCCAATGCTTTAAGAGCTTTTGGCAACTGTTCACAGTTGCTCTCAAGTTCAGGCAAAACTTCAGCAACCGTGCGTTCAACTAAAACACCGCCCACCATTCGAAAACATTTTCGTGTTTTGTCCACTCCACGAAGAGTTTCAATTACTATTCTGTAACAAAAACAGGTTATATTTACATGTTGCTACATAAATAATTTATTAATCTGAGTGGTGTTATTGAAGAATATTACTTGTGTTCATTGAGATCCATTTCTAACTCAGAAATTTTGTTTGCTAATTGGCGTTGTTCAGCCCGAAGAGTTTGAAAGCCAGAGAAAACTTCTTCGGTAGATTTAGACTTCGGGTTTTTTGATGCAGCTTTTTGAGACATCGTTCCAACTATTTATTTAAATATTTTTACTTAATAATTTCTTGTCCACAGCTAGTATTATAGGTTATTTATTTCACAAAATACCACTCCTCCAGAAATAGATAAACGAAAACGAAACGAGTCAATTTTGACAGATTATTTGACATTTGAAGTTGTATATACTGTGACTTTGTCTATGCCAAAATCCTAATAATAATATATTATTTTGTTGTACGTACATACGTAAATTGAAATTAATTTGCTACTTATTTTTACTGTGATATTTTTTTTATCTAATTACAATTTACTAATTCAATTAAAAAAATATATACTATTTATATATCTAAATCTAAATTAATGCATTGCAATAAATCAAATCTCAATTCTCTAATCTCTGTGCAAGGGTTAAAGCATAGATATACAACCAAATACCCTCTAAGGTGGAAAACATCTCGAGTTACTCCGGTACCTAAACGTGGTGCTAGTAAGGACGTGACTGGGTATAGGCCCATAGCGGTACTTTCGGTTTTCGGAAAGATATTTGAGTCTATTTTAGATAAACGAATAAGACAGCAGATTCAGTTACTGACTGCTGACGAACAGCATGGATTTAGGGGATCTCGATCAACTACAACAAGCTTAATTAACTTCGTAGATTTTGTTACTGGTGAGATGGATTCCGGAAGGCAGGTGGATGCAGCCTACTTTGATTTCCGGAAGGCCTTTGACGTAGTTGACAATGATATTTTACTTGCAAAAATGGCAGCTATTGGCTTTAGCCCTGGGTTGCTAACATTTTTTGCATCCTACCTGCGAAACCGAACTCAATATGTCAGGCTGGCACAATTTGAATCGGACAGCTACTACACAAGATCGGGCGTGAGTCAGGGGAGCACACTTGGACCAACCCAGTTTATCATTATGATTAATGATCTGCCAGGGGCCGTTAGTGCTGCTAAGTGTTTATTATTTGCAGATGATTTGAAACTATATCACGTAGTTAAAAATATCTCAGATTGCAGTGATCTGCAAAAGGACATAGACGCAATAGCGAAATGGAGTGACAATAATCGACTGTATTTTAATGGGTCAAAATGTAAAATTATAACCTACACACGCGCTCGCAGGCCAATAATTGCCAATTATGAGTTATCGGATAGACAATTGGATAGAGTTGAGATAATAAGAGACTTGGGACTAACTTTAGATTCACAACTTAACTTCAGACAGCATATGATAAATGTTTGTGAGAGTGCTAATAAAATGTTGGGATTTGTAATGAGGATTTCGTTTGACTTTAAGGGAATTGGAGCAGTACTAACTTTATACAAGGCTTATGTGCGTAGTCGGCTAGAGTATAGTGCAGTGGTGTGGGACCCCTACGAAACAAAATACTCCATCCTAATTGAGCGTATCCAAAGAAAATTCGCTCGATTTGTGTATAGGAAGAGGTACGGATATTATCCCTACCTTTATCCTTCAATGTTTGTCTCAGGGATGGTAGGACTGGATACCCTACAACTAAGACGTAAATTATTATTACTGGTACACTACTATCGACTCCTCAGTAACAAGGTAGATAATCCCACTACACTAGCACGAGTGGGGTTAATGGGAGTTCCTAAACGATATCTCGAGGCTGGTGATGGCACAGAGGGACCGCGTAGGCGGAGGAAATTATTTGCTATGCCACCAGGCGTACGCACAAAGCGAGGTGCTGCAGCACCAACGGCAAGAGCGATGGGTCTCATGAACTCGATGATAGCTCAGCACCCAGAATTAGATGTGTTCCACGATAAATCGTATGTCATACGGAAATTAATGTATAAGTTTTTAAATATAAATCTCAATAATATAGGAATAGGAACTATCTAAGTGATTAATATTGTAATAGGTTTAAGTTTCTTTTTTGTATCCTAGAATGTAAGTATTTTGGCTCGTATATAAATAAATAAATAAACAGGTTAAAGAGACAATGCACAGTCTAGATAAAATTGAATGTCATTTAATTGTCAACGTCAATATATTGTCAGTCAAAATAGGAAGTAGTACTGTAGTATGTAAAAAAAAACATTAAGTTTTCGTTTTCCTATTACTCTTTGCTTGCAAGAGATCAAATTAAATAATTCAAATTCACTTAGATTGTTGTTATAGTGTAATTTATTAGACCAAAAACCTGTGCGTATTTAGTGTTTATATTATCTTTTTATTGTAGCATGTATTTTATTGTGTGAGCAAAAACTTAAATTTTGATTATTAAGCTCAGAACAGTATTAAGTATGAAGTACGAAGAGACATTACAACGAGAATGGGACATCAGTAAGGAACAGCCCTGCGGTGATGTGGTGAGCCAAGCACTTTTTTGCATTTGTTTGTAATTTGTTTTCAAACAATAAGCACCTTTGGAATCCTGGGGAACAGTAACCGCCCCCAGAATACGATGCGATAGAGTTCGATGTCATAATTTGTGAATGCCAAACAAAATAATTTTTATTTTAGTTTTCTACAAGTTGAAGAAAAATAAAATAAAATGATTTTGTTTATGTGTAGTAGGTGGTCGGTGAGTATTCTTTGGGTGTTTAACAATTAATCATTTGTTAAATGTTCTGGATAACATGTGGCTATGCACATTTGTATACCAGAAAGGTTTATATGCCTATTAATATTCTAAGGCTTTATAATAATTAAAAAATCCAAGGAGTAGGATTTGTTGTGTATCAATATCAGGCTGTTAAGACATTTTTTACTAACTTTGAATGGGTGATACTTTAGTACAAATAGGCTAACTGGATAGCCTCAGCCAAAGAAAACTTAAGAACCTTCTAAGAGCAATTCTTTTATACTTGGTGACTTGTTATTAGACCATAATGTCATAAACAGATCATTTCCAACATTTTTGTCAAACATAGGGATAAGCAGATATGAACAGTTATTACCTATTTAATTTTTAGTGTTAAATTCAAAATGACACCTGTTTCCGCTAAAACTGTAAGGAAATATTACAAAAATGAAATGCTTGACTTAATTATTTTTTTAAATCATCCTACTTTATTCGTTTATTTACTTGTTCTAATTATCAAATACATAATAATATCGAGGGGTAACGGACTATTTGGTTTAAGCGACATTTTGGAAGATATTGAGTTATTATATATATTCGACGGAGAAAAATTCGCTGATTCCGAATATATATAGTATATAACGGTAATAGCAGTTTGTATTTCGTTGTGCTAAGATGGCGATCATTAAACCAAATTCATTATTTAAAAATTCAAATAAACACACACGAACATTCGCGCAAGCGCCCCGCGTCGCCTAAACGAAACAGCCGGCGCAGGCATAATTTTCGCCGCGCCGTAGAAAGAGAGAGGGATACTCCCTGTCCTACGAAACGCCAGCTATCAATTCGTCTTATACCCGGGCCACAAGAACGGTAAATCCCTGTGGGATTGTTTATTTTTTAAAATCACGAAAATAAACATCATTTCACAATAAATAAAACTAAATTGATTTTAATGAGATTTGTTACACAGCATTGCCATTAACCTTGGAGAAGACTAATAAAAAAATCAAAATTTTCCAGAAGTCATAATTATATATACATACATAACTTCACGCCTGTCTCCCATGGGGGTAGGCAGAGACTAAGGAACGCCAATTACTACGATTCTTACATACCTCTTTCGCTTCATTAACAGTCATCAATCTTTTCATGCATGCTCGTCGGTTAAGGGTACTTTTAATTTGACCCTTCTTTAATATATCGCCAATCTGGTCACTATATGTCCGTCTAGGGCGCCCTCTACCGACGGCCCCATTCATATCCGCTCTGTATACTTCTTTCGTTACTCTTCTTTCATCCATCCTTTCTACATGTCCAAACCAGCGTAACATTCCCTTTTCAATCCTTGTCACTACATCGTCTTTCAATCCACACCTCTCTTTAATAACACTATTTTTCACTCGATCACTCAATTTTAGTCCACACATACTTCTCAGCTCTCATTTCCACCGCATTAATCCTGCTTTCATGCTTCTTCTGCCACACCCATGATTCACTACCATACATAAGCGTTGGACGTTACACACTGCATTACAGCAAGTCGAGCTTTGCTGGATATTATTTTACTCGACATTACAGAGTGTAAAGCACCATTAACACTATTTCCCGCTTTCACTCTCCTTTCAATATCCCCGTCACACTTTCCATCTCTCGTAAATAGTGATCCCAGATACACAAATTCATTCACTTGTTCCAATTTTTCATCACCTATCATTACCTGACATTCTGTTATCACCTCATTTCTTTCTATCACCAACACTTTCGTCTTGTTCACATTTACTTTCATACCTTTCCTTTCAAATGCATCACTCATAGCAGTAATCATTTGTTGTAATTCTTGGGCCGACGAGGCAACAAGCACCTGGTCGTCGGCATACAACAATGTTTTAATCACTGTGTCATTCATCCTTAATCCAGACTCTCCTACTTTCAGGTCGTTCAAACAACTGTCCATAAATAGGTTGAACAGCCAAGGAGATGCTACACAGCCTTGCCTAATACCTCGATTAATATCAAACCACTCCGTGTAGTCCCCATTTATTCTGACACAGGCATTCGAGTTCTTATATAAGGATTTAAGTGCCCGAATCAGGTGGCTATCCACCCCATACATGGACAGAGTTGACCACAATTCATCCCTCACCACTCTGTCATAAGCCTTTTCTAGGTCTATAAAGGCACAAAATACCTTTTGGTGCTTTGATAACACTTTCTCTGAAATGCACCGTAACGAAAAGACTTGATCCGTACACCCCATTCCCTTTCGAAATCCCGCTTGCACATCTCAGATTTTACGCTCAGTTACATTCATCACTCTTTCGATCAATACCTTGGCATATAACTTTCCTACTACGCTTAGGAGGCTAATACCGCGATAATTTTTGCACTCCTGCTGTGATCCTTCTCCTTTATACAGTGGCACAATTACGGCCTTGGCCCAGTCTCCCGGGACACGACCGCACCGCCAACACTTATTAAAAAGCAGATACAGCAGGCTTGCAATTACACCTCCACCCTCTGTTAGCATTTCAGAAGTTATCCTATCACATCCCGCTGCATTACCTACTTTCAAACTCTTAATGGCACTCACAATTTCATCCATATTTATTTCTCCCACATTAGCACTTTCATTCTCATCGTTTACTTCCTCTTCTTTCAAATCACTCCTTTCAAATAAATTCTCGAAGTATTCCTTCCGCTGCTTTAAAACATCCTTACTTTCTCCAATGACACTCCCATTTATATCCGTTATCGTACTTACTTTCGAGTCCCCCACTTTGCCTCTGGCCCTTCTAACTAAATGCCAGAATAGTTTAGCGTTGGCTCGAAAGTTCTGCGAAAAATTCCTTTCAAACTTTTCCTTGCATTCATTTTTCTTCTTGCTAACTACCGCTTTTGCTCTCTTTTTGAGACTAACGTACTTTTCTTTCATACTTTCTAGCACTCTCCTATTTGCCTTTGAGGCTAATAAGTCGAGCCATGCTTTCTTCTTTTGCTCTATCACCTCTTTTACTTCATCATCCCACCATTCATTCCTCTTGCTTCCAGTGTTATTTTTCTTGCTTACCCTACATACTTGAGTAGCTACTGCGATCACTCCATCCATAAATTCCTTCCAAAATTCTTCTATATTCCATTCGTCACCTTTCATTAACTCCCTAAACCTTTCATTTAATAATTTCCTGTACTGGTCCCTAACTTCCTCTTCTCTGAACCGTTCAACTCTCACTCTCTCGGTTCCAGGCAACTTTACCCGTGGCCGATGTCTCCACTTCATTGCCAGTCCAGCTATTCTAGTAATTACTAGGAAGTGGTCGCTTCCGACATTTGTGCCACGGTAAACCCTTGTGTCCTTCACTTTTGTCCTCAGGCGTTCATCAACAATCACAAAATCAATCATACTTCTTTCTGTATGCCTCTGCCATGTATACATGTGTATCTTTTTGTGACCAAATGTTGTGTTGGTCACAACAAGTTCCTTTTCTATACATATATCCAGAAGACATACACCATTCTCGTTCACTTGTTCGTCTCCAAATCGCCCTAATACTCCAACCCATCCATTAAACATACGCACAGATGACAAATAATTTGGTCAAGCCAATTTTAAGGCGGATCCAAAGTATCCTGGGACTCACACATTCATACTCTTTCACACATTCATTCATCCTTTCAGATAGTATGACCCCCACGCCCTGGCTGCCTCTCTGGGAACTTGCAACACCAGACCAGTAAGCAATATATTGGCCATGCGTGGTAGTCATACAACCCTTTCTTTTCGTCTCGCTCATCTCACATATTTCTAACATCTTGCCTTCTACACCTCCACACACATTCACTGTAGCAAAAAGGCAATCCTCAGTCCGCTTTCTGCCTACGCACGGGGAGACAAAACGTGACGTGTGGCAATCCCCTGTTCATAATGCCCTGTCGCATATCCCTATGGATGGGAAAAGGAAGTAAGGATGCTTGGTAGGGGGTTGTGGGTCTATGGGATAGGAAAGCTGTGGGAGCTACGATCACCCCGTACATAGACAGTAGTGATCAAGAACTTCCACAGCTCAAAGGTTAACGGGGATACTGCAGAAACGGAAAGGATACGAGGAAAGTTCCTTCAGTAGCTCAGGCTGTTACGTTGGTGGATTAATAATTTGTAGACGGTTTTATTATACTTGGATTTATTATAATAATGTGCAGGGCGCACGACGTGTACACACACCAGACTATGACAGGTAGACAGCCGCGTTAGTGAATAGTGTTCTACCTTATATAACACATTATAGTGAGGGGGCCACTACTTACTAATTAGTGATGTTCATATCATACATGTAACACAGGCGGCCAGGGTCGCGTCCCTATCTGTTTCTTCCTTCATGATCGGAAAGACCATAAAGTTGAAAACAGCCTTAGCCAAGTCATAATTATATGCGGACGAAGTCGCGGAGAACGCGGAGTCGCTAGTAGTAACATAAATAAATAAATGATATTCATGTCTGTATAGTGTATAGTGACCGTGACAGTCTCCAGTAACTGAAACTTTGATTGATTTTGAAGTTGGTTTTATATTTTTATTATCAAATGAAGAGTGTTGACGATGCGACTCCGTCGGATGCGGCGCTGAGTGCGCTGTTAGAGGACGCCGAGCCCGCCGACGCGGACGCAGAGCGGCGCGTGCAACGTCTCGGCAGCCGCCTCGCGCGCCTCGATGCACTCAACGTGGCCGGCATGCTGGCCGCCGCCACCGAGAGCGGGGGCGCCGGCGCCGCGCTGGCCGAGCGCCTGGAGGCAGGGCTGGGGGCGGGCGCGGCACTGGCGCAGCGTTTGCGGCGCTACGACGCGCTGGCCCGCGCCGCACCCGCCGCGCCGCACGCTCGCTCGGACGCAGCGCGCGCGGACGCCAACGCGCGCCGCCTACTAGCGGAGCTGGGGGAGCTTTTCGGCTGGCTGGACGCGGCTCCGCTACGTGACTTAGATTCGTTGACGGAGGTGGCGCTGACGTCGAACGAGGGCCGCGCGCAAGCACTGGCGGCGGCCGAAGCACTCCGCGCGGCGCTGCGGGCCGAGGCCAGCGCACCCGCGTCGCGCCGCCGCCTCGCCGCAGTTCGCGAACGACTCCGCCGCCTCACGCGTGCACGTGACCAGGTTGCATTCTGTTTTATAACATAATATTACCTATGTACGAGTTGTAGTAGTTAACTCCGTACATTGATTTGTAGTGAAGATGAAGTTGATGTAGTGTAGAGAAACAATTTTCACCCAGTTGCACTAAGTAGTTAGTTTATTGCAATTAAATTACAATATGAATGAAAGGCGATTATTTCTCTCAGTTGTTGATAGCTACCAAGTTATAAGTTGACTATATATTAATTCGTTAACGACGTGGTTTTATAACGCTATATTGTGTACGCGCGTCATTAGCCTAAAGTAGGTTGCCGCGTAAACAGAAAAATGTGCGGTGGTGAAACCGTACACCTACGTATGTACGTAAACCTATTAATAATCCACACAAAGCTTGATCAAAACTGCCGATCCCATAGCTTACTTACATTTTGCAGAAAAAAATTGTTGTGTATCTGTGGTATACTCTATGGTCATATATAGTCTATGGTGATAGTTTATCTATGTGCGTGGCGGAGCCCGCGGATTTTGAAAAACAATTGAATGTGAATAAAGGCGTGTGTCGATAGCCTTCTCTTTTTACTGATATTTCGTTTGATTAAATAACATATATAACATTGGCGACGAGTTTACCCACACATTTTAATTCCAAAATGAATAGTTTTGGAATTTTGTCCACGTTCGATCACAATGTGCAAGAATGGAAGTCATATAAAGGCCGAATTACGCAATGGTTTATTGCAAATGATATCGTCTCGAAAAATGATGCAGTTGGAGCCAAGAGACGGGCGATCTTGCTCAGCGCACTAAGCGACGGTACTTATAAGTTGGCGGCAGACCTGGCACTGCCGAAGGATATCCAAGAAGTACCGTATGATGAGTTAGTGCAATTATTGGATGAGCATTTTCTCCCAAAGATATGTGGATTCAGCGAGCGTTACAATTTTTATGCGGCTGTGCAGCAGCCGGGTGAGTCGTACACGCAATGGGCGTCCAGGCTGAGAGGACTTACAGCACATTGTAAGTTTAGTAACGTCGAGGAAGCGTTACGAGATCGATTCGTCATGGGTATGGTAGCGGGACATGAACGGGAGAAGCTGTTCGCGCAGGACATCGACAAGCTGACCCTGGCCAAGGCAGTAGAGCTGGCAGAGAGCGTGCGGTGTGCGCGTGCGGGAGCCGCCAGTACTACGGTTGTCCACGGGCAGCAGGCACCGGTCTTCAAGATCACCAAACAAGGAAACAGTGCTAAAATCGTTAGTGCCGGTAAAATAAAGTGTACAGTGTGCGGTCGTAATAATCACGAGTCATCCCAGTGTCGGTTTGCCAGCTATAAATGCAATAAGTGTAACACCAAGGGTCACCTGCGTAAAGTTTGTAATAAGGTGAATTACGTGTCTGCGGGTGATGTGAGCGGGGATGACGACGACGGTAAGTCATTGTTTAACATACGCTCAGTCCGTGGGGAACCAATGACGGAATCAGTTTCAATTTACGGGAAGAATTTACAATTTCAAATAGATAGTGGATCAGCGGTGACGGTTATATCCGAAAGTACGTATAAAAAGATGTTCAGTAATGTTCCGTTGCTTGATTCAAATAAAAAGTTTTTTAGTTACACTGGCAATATTATACATTGTGTTGGATACGTAAACTTGCCAGTGACGTACATGCAACACACTCACTCACTGGATGTATACGTCATCCGTAACGGCGGACCACCGTTATTAGGCAGAGATTTTATATCAAAATTTAAACTTAATCTGACGCCTTGTCACTTTCTGAGAGGTCAGAGTATGGTGGACCAGTTGCAATTAAGATTCCCAGAACTATTTTCTGATAAGCTTGGTACCTTTAGTAAATATCGTGTTAAATTAAAATTAAAGGATAATGTGAAACCGATATTCTGTAAAGCGCGTCCAATTGCGTTTGCGTTGCGTGATAGGGTGGACAAAGAGTTAACACGTTTAGTTGATCTAGGTGTCCTGAAACCGGTATCGCACTCTGAGTACGCGTCACCTATTGTTCCCGTGCTGAAGCACAACGGTTCGGTTAGGTTGTGCGCCGACTATTCGGTTACTATTAACAAACAGCTATTGATAGAACAATATCCTTTACCCACGGTACATGAACTGTTTTCAAGACTGTACGGAGGTCAACAGTTCTCAAAAATCGATTTGTCTATGGCCTATAATCAGTTTGTGTTAGACGAAGAGTCCCAGCCAGTTACATGTATTAATACACATCGAGGTCTATTTAATTATACTCGACTAGTTTTTGGGTTGTCTAGCGCCCCGTCTATATTCCAACGCGCTATGGAAACAATACTTTCGGGACTAGACGGTGTCTTATGTTTGCTCGACGACATATTAGTCACTGACCAAACCCCGGAGAGACATTTGAAGAAGTTGAACATAGTTCTGCAAAGGCTTCAGGATGCGGGGTTAACAGTGCAAAAAGAAAAATGTGAATTTTTTAAAAATGAAATTAAATATTTAGGTTATATAATAACCAAGGATGGGTTACAGAAAGACCCTGCAAAGGTTAAAGCTATAGCTGAGGCGCCTGTTCCTTCCGATATTAATACCCTACAGTCATTTTTAGGACTGGTAAATTACTACAGAAATTTTGTGGCTGGGGCATCCTATATCCTGAGTCCTTTGTATGAACTATTAAAAAAAGGAGTAAAGTGGAACTGGTCTATGTTACATCAACATGCATTTGATAAAATTAAAAAATGTTTAACGTCTGATCAGGTTCTAACACACTTTAACCCAAATGCCAAAGTAGTGTTAACTGTGGATGCGTCTCCGAATGGCTTGGGAGGTATTTTGTCTCAAATAGATAAGGACGGGGTAGAGCGCCCCGTAGCATTCGCTTCCCGCACATTGAACGCGGCTGAGAAAAATTATTCACAAATACAGAAGGAAGCGACTGCAATAATATTTGGTATACGTCGGTTCCATCAGTACTTATACGGGAGATCAGATCCTTTTATATTACGCACGGATCATAAGCCATTAATATCTATCTTTGGTCCTCATAAAGGTATACCAGAGGTATCCGCTAACAGATTGCAGAGATATGCGATGTTTTTAGGGGCATATAATTACGTTATTGAGTATGTTCGTAGTGCTGATAACAACGCGGATTACCTTTCTCGGGCAAGTTTGCAGTGTGAGTTAGGACGTGATCGCGCCATGAGCGAGGGAGACAACATCGGCGTACACGCCGCCGCGGCCGCCGCCCCCATTGATCGAGCATCATATGTCAACTTTGTTGTCGAAGGCGACATGCCGTTGACTTTGAAGGAGTTACGTAATGCCACTAATGAGGATACGGTTTTACAGTTAGTTGTGAAATATGTTCAAAACGGTTGGCCTAACAAATTAGTGAACTCACAGTTAAAACCATATCATTTGTGTAAGACACAATTGTCCTACGAAGATGGTTGTTTGATGAGGGGCCACAAGGTGGTACTTCCCGAAGTATTGCGCTCGAAGGTTTTAGCAGAGTTACATACTTCACATTTAGGCATAGTAAAAACGAAATCAGAAGCTAGATCACGATTTTGGTTCCCAGGCATTGATGCGGCGCTGGAAAGAATGATACATTCGTGTGAAATATGCAAACAGCTACGGCCGTCGCCGCCCCGGGCACCCCTAGCACCTTGGAAGTTTCCACTTACACCATTTCATAGATTACATATAGACTTCCTCGGCCCCTTGAATAATCAAATGTTCTTGGTAGTGGTAGATGCTCACACTAAATGGTTAGAAGTGTACGACGTGAGCAACTCTACCGCTTCGGCAACTGTTGTTGAAAAACTCTACGATTTTATGTCCAAATATGGATTACCTCACGTAATAGTTAGCGATAACGGTACTGCGTTTACATCCGCTGAATTCACGAAATTTTGTTTATTAAATGGGATTACTCATCTTACATCACCCCCTTACAACCCTGCTAGTAATGGACAAGCAGAAAGCTTCGTAAAAATTGTAAAGAAGGGTATAAAATCAAGTATTTTAGGTTCTCGCAGTAGGAATGAGTGTAAATTAAAATTGTTAAAGTATTTGTTCGATTATAGAAATTCAGTGCATTCCGTCACGGGCTTCTCACCCGCTGAGTTGGTGTTTGGGCGAAAACTCAGAACACGTCTGGATTTAATCCACCCAAATTTAACGTCTACCCCACTCACATCACTAATTAACGATGTTAATAAAAAGCAGTGCTCGCAAATTAAGTACTATGGTGGCAATAACAAACATGTGTATGAACCGGGAGATGAAGTCATGTTTAAAAAATATATGAACAATTCTAAATATATGTGGTGCAAAGGTACCATTATTAGAAGACTCGGTAAAGTGTTGTATTTGATCAAAGACCACATAACTTCAACAGATGTCAAAAAGCATAAAAATCAAATAGTTGTGTATAAAGGTATATCTCAACCAGTAGATTTAGATGATGTATTGTTAGACGACGAACCCGGGGACTCTCAGTTGCTTGATAGTGGGGAGAGAGAAAGGAACGAGGTGGAATTGTCATCCTCACCTTCTCCCCAAGATATGAGATGTTCCAGCAAACTGTTGCGGGACATACCCAGGGTTGATTACAAGCAGTTCTTTTAAGATTCAGTTGTATTTTTCTATTAGTGCATTTAATAAGGGGAGGGATTGTTGTGTATCTGTGGTATACTCTATGGTCATATATAGTCTATGGTGATAGTTTATCTATGTGCGTGGCGGAGCCCGCGGATTTTGAAAAACAATTGAATGTGAATAAAGGCGTGTGTCGATAGCCTTCTCTTTTTACTGATATTTCGTTTGATTAAATAACATATATAACAAAAATCCTTTCAGTTAAATGGTTCTAGCAGCAGTCTCCACGGTTTAGGTGCAGGCGGTAATCCATAATGTTGTGCATAGTTAGCGGCGGCGCTGGCCCGCCACCTGAACAACGCGCTGATCCACCTCGGCAACGAGGCGGCGCACGAGTCCCGCGCGCACCGCCACCACGCCGAGCTGCTGCCCTACGCGCCCTTCATGCGCTGGCTCAAGGACATGGACGAGAAGGCGTTCGACGCGCTCGCCAAGGTACGTGCTCGAGCTGTAGACTGTACGGAGTGCCGGTGCGGGTGTAGACAGTGCGGCTGTGCAGGTGTACGTGGGCACGTGGGCGCGCGTGTACGAGCGCGAGCTGCGCGCGGCGTGCGAGGCGGCGCGGGCCGCGCTGGCCGCCGCGCCCCCCGACCGCGCGGAGGAGCCGCTGGACAATGTGAGTGAGGCCGAGTTTTGCTATCGGATATAGACAGTTTTTTTTCTACGTTTCTTACCCGATCATATTTTACAGGTTTTAAGTCTGGTCGAGAGTTTGTGCAATGCAGAGCAAGACTTCTGTACGCAATTCTTCTTCTTGGATATCGACGTTAAGGTAATTAATGTCAGTCGATACGAGGGCTGGTTTCCTCCGAATTCGTCAGTACGTATATACACAAACGCATACGTAACGACGTACGGCAATGACGAGAAAGCTTTATTCTGAGACACGTGTGTTACGATAGGGCGAGGGCGGCGACGGGGAGCGGAGCGAGGGCGGGGAGCGGGGGGAGGCGCGGCGCGGCGCCACGGAGACGCGGCGCTTCATGGGGGACCTGTTCCCCGCGCTCGAGGCAGACCTCGTCGCGCTCGTGCAGCAGCTCGAGCGGCACGACGCCTAGTGAGTACAGGCTGCAGTACTGGGCGAGCGAGGCGGGGCCTGCAGTGGACTAGCGGGGCCTGCAGCGCGGCGTTTGTTACAGTGGCGCCATGCGTGCGCTGGCGTGCGTGGGCCGCCGCGTGCTGGGCGCGGAGGGGGGCGCGGGCGGGGGCGGGGGCGCGGGCGAGGCGCGGTGGGCGCGCGCGGCGCTGGCGGGCGTGGCGGTGGCGGCCAAGCGCGGCGCGGACCGCTGCGTGGCGGACCGACTGGCGGCGCTGCCCGACGCCATCAAGCAGGTATGTACAAGAAATATACTAATCAGCTATCACTTGATCTTTAAAAATACACATATCTGGGGGCACGGCAGTGCCCCAGCCAGGTGTCGAGGAAAACGGGCACGGCCGTACCATCTTATATCTTCTTATATATATCTTCGACGTGGACAAAGAGGAGTTTAGGTTTACGGTAAATAAAAGTAGGCATTAGAACAAGCTTAAGTTCGAAATTATATGGCAATTGAAGGAGTTACGACTGATCAAAGTTACACCATTTTGTCACTGACACTGACTCGCTTACCGATAGTCAAAAATGTAAGGTACTTCTAGCAGACTTAGAAACTACAAATTTTGCACCAAGGTAGGTCTTTAGCCACATCTAGGAAAAATTATAAAAACATCAAAAAATTATATACCATGGAAAACAATTTTTTATTTGCGGTTGGGCAAGAACATTGTGTATGGATTTGACTACGTTGTTTAACCTTCGGCATACAACTGAAAAAAAATCCTTACTTATACAACGTGGGGTTAAATTAACCCCACAAGGGATTTATGTATGCGCCAAGTGCAATAAGTTTGAATGAGTTTTTTTATACAACTACATCACAAAATTAATAAATAATATAAACAATGTATTAAATTAAACATTTATTATAAAAAAACTTAAAAATCACATAACCTTTCCGTGAATTTAAAAACATGTTCAAAAATATTTCTCAAAATTAACACAATTATTTTACTTATTATATAAAAATAGATATATTTGACTTTATAAAAATAATCACTATTAGCACTTTATGGCTATATAAGGGAGATCATTCGTTATCTAAATCAGTACAATTTTGACACATGAAATTCGCATGTTCCTATCTTTGTTTCTTGGACAGGAAGAACATCTCTGAGACCTTCTTGGTTGCTTTTGTGGTGGTCCTGGAACTTGTTCGTGCAACATTTCATGCACACGTCTTCTTACATCTCGTGGTATATGTGGATTGTCTTTCCTTTTCCTAATGTAGCCTTCGAGCAAAGAAAGTCCCAATTGCTTGATGAAGTTCTCCCTGAGATTATTTTTCTTCCTTTCAATGCTGTTATTCAACATATACACAATGAAAGCATTTATACCAGCATGGTTCAACATGGAAAACAATACGGTAAGAGGCCAGCGTTTGCAGTTGCGGGTAACATCGTATGTTCTAGCAAGTTTATAGACAACATCAACTCCGCTCTTTGTCGACTTGTAAAACGTTATAATAGACGGCTTTCTTTGGTCTCCGCTTTCTGGATCCACCGCATCATCATGATGTAATGAGGACATCATGTGTTCACATTTTCGTGGCTTTGGTATGTAAGATACAATAGTTATGTCTTTTTGGAATCCAAACACAGATAATTTTTCTTCACGTCTAGCCTTGAACTGAGGTGGAAGGCATGTCTTGTTCGACCTTAGTGTACCAGTACCAACGGCAGTCAATTTGTGGTTTTTCTGAAAATTTTCAGCAGTTTCATAGGTTATAAAAATTATCCATGGTGATGTTTCTTCCTGATCCAGACACACATCTTACCAAACGATCAACAACATAGAAAGAAAGAAAGAAAGAAAGAAAGAAAAACATTTATTCGACACATTGCATGCACAGATATGTAGACAAAATGAGTTATAAATAAAAACAAAATTAAAACAAACAATAAACATCACAAAATTAACAAAAATAGATGCATGCACGTGTCGAACGGGCCTCCACCTCAGCATTATGTTGAGCGTGGTAACACTCAACGCTGATCTTCCGGTGGCACCCTGCAGTGACTCACGAATGGTAGTGTGGATACAAATACAAAATAATAAAAAAAATTAATAAATAAATAAAATGGTTCATACAAATAATATATTATTATTACAAATATGTACATGTTGCTACGAAGTAAGACGAAAAATAGCGGGAATAACACAAAGAAGTAGAAATTAAATATTAAATAATTGAAATATCTGCCCTTGTCAAATTCAGCTTCCGTTGTGCGTCTATCATAAACTGACGTAAGCGTTTCCTGAACGTATAAATTGTGTTTATTTCTCTTATGGGTGGTGGCAGGTTATTCCATACTTTGGAAGCCGCATAACGAAAACTTCCTCGGAACGCCGCCGTACCGTGACTGTGACCCATAAGCTGCTGCGAACATTGCCTCCTTCCGCACTCTCGCCTGCTATTTACCCAGCTTAGCTTGTCATATAAATAGTCTGGTTTCTGGTGCTTAATAACACCAAACAGTAGACAAGCTAAGTGCAGTTTGCGTCTAGACTTCATTTTTAGGGTGAAGTGCCTGTTTAAAAATGGTGTTACGTGGCTTCTACGTGGAACATTGTAACAAAACCGAGCACAAGCATTTTGCACCCTTTGTATCAGTCGATCTGTACGAGCTAGCAAACGAGGGCCGTACACTGTGTCAACATAATTCAACCTAGACAAAACCAAAGCCTCGACAAGTTGTTCACGCAATGTTTCTGATACGTAAGGCCTTACCCTGTATAATACTTTGAGGCGGTAGAAACAATTACGTACAGACTCAGCTACATGCTTCTCAAAGCGGAGATCCTCATCCACCACTAAGCCAAGATTCCACGCCTCATGCACTCTCTCAACTGGCACACCCATCAGTTCCACATTCAATGCTCCAGGCAGCCTAGCACGTTGATGCCTTGTGCCGAAAACCATAAATTTTGTTTTTGTTGGGTTTAAAGACAGGCAGTTATCCTCTGACCAAGCTGCAATTCTACAGAGATCCTCATTTAGGTCCATAATTGCACTTTCGTATGCATCCGGCCTGAAAGATATATAAACTTGAACGTCGTCAGCATAAATATGATACTTACATCTTGTAATACCCTTAATGATATCAGCACAGTACAAAATAAAGATGATTGGACCCCAAAATAGATCCCTGCGGAACTCCTCGTTCGATACCTGTAAGGGCCGATTTAACAGAATTACCACCAGCCGAGTGTAATTCAACAAACTGCTTTCTATTTGTGAGGTAGCTACGAAACCACATCAAAGCATCAGGGCTAAAGCCATAATAGTTTAACTTGGATAGCAGCAGTGGTATATTTATTGCATCAAAGGCACGGGAAAAATCAAGTAAAACCAGTACGGTGCACATTCCCTTATCCTGAGCCGCCAAAATATTATCAGTGACATCTAGTAATGCCGAGGAAGTACTACGGTGTTTTCTGAAACCAGATTGCAAGTCAGGCAGCACGTTGTTTTGGTCCAGAAAAAGAGTCAATTGATGGCTCACCACTTTCTCCAGCAGTTTTGACAGACATGGTAAGATGCTAATGGGGCGTAAATCCTTGAACCGTGTGGGATTTGAAGCCTTGGGCAAAGGTCTGACAGAAGCAATTTTCCACAGGTCGGGAAAGGTTGACGTCTCAATTGAGCGATTGATTATTTGTGTAATGACTTGTAATGTGTGTGGCATAGTTAATTTTAGCATGTTCAGTGTAATGCCATCACAGCCTTCAGCGTTGCTCCTGAGACCAGCCACAACGCGCGCGACATCACTTACCTCCACTGGTGTGATCGTGAAAATTGCCTCACCACGCTTGCGGCCACTAAAGTAATTTATGAGTGCCAGACTTGCTACAGGATTACCTGGAACCGTCTCCAGGAAATGATTATTAATTAGGTCCGGATCAGAAAAAAGCGACGGAAGGTATTTTCCCTGTGCAGTAGCCAATAAGGTGTATTTTATGTTTTTCCACAAGGTCTTGGGGTTATTTCTTTTATTGTTTATATTGTGTTCGAAATAAGCAACCTTTTCCCTGTGTAATGAACTCGCTACCAGAGATTTTAATTCTTTATAATAGGTTTTTTTAGAATCACTTTTCGTTTTTCTATAATTCCTTAAAGCGTCGTCTCGCAGACGCATCATTAGTTTAATAGTATCAGTAATCCAGGGATACGACCTTTCCTTTACGGTGCATGTTTTTATAGGCGCATGAACATCAAACAGATATATGATAGAGGAGTTAAACATGTCTACCATATCGTTTACATCCTCCAACGAACATATCAGTTCAGTATTTTGGACAAGTAAGTCAGCATTAAAAGAGTCGAGACAAATATCTTTAAGAGGCCTAAATTTAATAACGTACGGGTTCGCCTTTTCACGTTTTATGTTAAATTCACTGATAACAACAGAGTGACCGTTAACCGAAGCAAAGGGTTCCACCGATGTACATCCTGCTTCCAAGTCAGTACACAGGAGATCAAGTAGTGTTTCACTGGTCGCTGTGTAGTGAGTTGGTTCCGTTACTAGCTGGGACAAATTGAGGCACTTCACAAACTCGTTGACAGCTCTGGTCTTGATACTATCTTTGTCTAAAAGGTTGACATTGAAGTCGCCGACCAGTATGCAGTGGTCATAATTTCCCAAAGCACCAACAGTGTCCGTCAGGGCATCAATAAAGAGAGCAAGATCGAACCATGGTGGCCTATACGCGGTACCTAGTGCTATATTTTGTCCGCCCAAAGTAAGCATTAACCACATTTGCTCAACCGAGTCGAACCTGGGATCACCCGGGCAGACAAAGCCCGCGTGCTCAAACCCTGACGTATGTAAAAGCCTACACCCCCCCACGACCCAAGCGGACACTAGCTGGTCGCGGCGTGTGACGGAGACGGTATCCCGCTATCATAGGAGCGCGCCCCTCCTCTCCCTCTCGCAACCACGTTTCATTTATGGCCAAAACGTCAAAGCAATGCCTCTCAATCATAGCCATCAAGTCATCATGTCCCGTACCCAAGGAACCCGCATTTAGGAAACCGACTTTTAAACTTTTCCCACCCTTAGTCATCATGATGACAGCTAGTTGTACCGAAACAAACAATCACATCATAATAGATTATAACTTTCGTATGACTGCAATTGTGTAAGTTTCGTAGGTAGTGTATAAGATATACTGTAAAGTTATCGCAAACAGAATAGACATGGAAACAGAATTTAACAATGACAACATTTATAGTAGGAAAAAAGTAGTTGTACAGGTAACAGTTTAGTTGTAAAAATGCATAGGTGTACATATTTATAAAATCAAACTGGTTTACAGGTAACCCACTGCACTGCGCGTGAGCAGCTGCGGGGCACACGGAAAAAAAACAACAAAGTACATAAACAGAACAACAACTCGTGTAGAAATACATAATTATGTAATAGATTTAACATGATAACATATTTCGCTGAGTCTAATGCAAAAAAATACACAAATAAAATTTACACTACAGTACTTCGTTAGGATTAAAATTAACAAGGAGACACAGCTACCAAGAACTGGCGAAAACAAAAATAAACAAGTTATATAAATCAAATTACAACTTGACTTATTTACCGGCAAACAGATGTTTAGATACATCTTAATAGAAACATTGTCTACGACCGTATATACTGTACTCCCACCACTCATTACGCACACATACTTTATACATCCATTAGCAAACATTTGTCGAATCATTTTTAACAAAAACTCGGAACCACTAGGCGCTTGCAACCACGCCACCGTTTGACGACGCTGTAAGGTTAAATACGCCTTGTAGGTCAGCTTCGCAACGGATATGATAAGCAGAGTCCCCGGGTTTGTTTCGAGCGAAAATGCGACCTTTTTTCGACCATATGAACTGCCAACCACGGCTACCTCCGGCCTCACGAGCTCGCCGAAATAACTCGCGGTTTACCTTTGTTAGCCGCTCATTTATATAGAAGCGTGTCGCCGGTCCAGGCAACTCAAGATCAGCAGTGGTCATACCTCGACGTACTCGCGCAGCCTCCAGCAGCTCATCCCGTAGGTCGCGGCGCGCAAGGCGCACGACCAGGAAGCGTGGGCGGGTCTCCACCGGCCCTGTTGACTGCGTCGCGCCTATCCGCCGACCCCCAACACGCTCGGCGCTAACTATATCGCGCGGCTTAATCTTAACACCAATCTTCGAAGCGAGCAGCATGGCCGTGTTTATAGGGTTTTCACCACTGACCTCAGTTATATTTGATATTTGCACATCATTTGCCAGTAGCTCCTGATCCCGATCATTTATATCATTACGCAGTTGTGTAATTAAAGCATTTACCTCTGAGGAAGCGGGCTGGACCACTTTTTGGTTCTCAATAATAGCCACCCTTTCCTCCAAGCTACACAGCCGATCATTATTAAGTTTCACCAAGGACCTAAGTTGAGATAGATCATCGCGAAGCAATTGAAACTCGCTCCTTATAATGCCCAGGAACTCATCCTTAAGTTGTCGTAGCTCTGCCTTAAGAAAGTCTGTATTGAGCTCCTGGGTGTCGTCCAAAGCAGTGTTGTTAATTGGACTCGTGTCCATCAAATTGATGCTGCTTTCCAAAGCTGCCACAGACGCACATCCCCTTACTGGTGTGTCCGCGCCGTTGTCTCGCAGAAGATTTTTTTTGCACTCAGGACAGTGCCAGGATGTCGGCAATGAGCCAGTATTTAATAGTCCCACACATGCGCGGTGGTATCTTATCCTACATTTACCGCAGCTGATGGATTCTGTGGTTGACATAAACTTTCCACAGCCTCCACATTTGGCCATGATAAAAAAATAAATAAAAATTGGTACTGCAGCGGTTGAGATTCCACAAGCTTACTGGGTAGTATGCCCAACAGATGGCGTTAATTTTAATAAAGCGTTTAAGGCAGTTATCAATGTTATGGGCAAGACATTCCACACCATAAGTGATAGACACCAATTGAGCGTAAAAAATCAATCACTATCGGAGTTACTTGTCTACAATTAGGTACCACTGTTCACTTGTTTATAGGTTTGTTTTTTCACTATAGGGTATTTGTTTAAACTTGCCACAACACACAGGCACAATACGATTATTTTACGTTTTTAGGTTTTAAAACCGAAACCAAACACAGGATAACAAAGTCACTTCTTATTTACACTCAATTCTAACTTTTTATAATCACTAAGATGATTATAACTGGTTTAAAATATTTTTATGTAAAGTAATTAGCACAGAGAACTTATGACCGGTTCACATCCGTGACGTCACTCCCATCAAATGGCTTATTACTCAATGTATAAGGACTGTTGTCAGGCTGTTTTCCACAGTAAATTTCCAAGTTGATTGTGTAAAATGTTTTAGTATCCACTAGAGCGTAGATTTTCAACCCATACTTAGCCGGTTTCGAGGGTATGTATTGACGAAAGATACATCTTCCTTTAAATGCCACGAGTTATTCGTCTATGGTCAAGTATTCATGAGGCATATAGGCATTCTGACAGTTTTTCACGAATATGTCAAAAACATCTTGAATTGGCGCCAAACGATCAATAGTTGCTCTTGCTGTACGAGTTGACGAATCGTCAAATCTCAAGTTATTTATCAGAAATGAAAATCTCTGTCTCGACATAGTATTTCTAAACACTTCAATTCCTGTGCCGTCATTACTCCATAAGTCTATAAGACTTTGCCGGCCAGATCTAAACAAGTCGTATTAAAGTTGATATTTGCGTAGTGAATTGATTAGATATTGCTCGTGTTTGGTGTAGTGATGCAGCTTCGTGTTAGGTCCGGTCAGTTTAGTAGGTTGTGAGAAGTGTCGACAATGCACTTGTGACTCCTCTAGTGTTGTGGGTGTATCCATGGGCGGCGCTGATTGCTTTCCATTAGGATATCCGTTCGCACGTTTGACATAAACATGATCCTGAACTTTGATGAAGTCATCACTTTCTGGTTTTGTTGAATAGCGTTAGTGTCGTCGTCCTTGAAACGGTTTCATACCGATGGTTATGCTTACCACTTTACGGCTGTGTGGGTTGTGACGCAGCTGTTTGCGGTGTAAGTACCTACCTACTTTGAAGGTCCTTAGTCTTGGATACTTCATTTCATACTTATTTAAATTTGAGCATCACTCTCAGTTCGTTATCTTATATATATATAAAAGAAAGTCGTGTTAGTTACACTATTTATAACTCAAGAACGACTAAATCGATTTTGATGAAAATTAGTGGGGAGGTAGCTTAGAACCAGGAGACGGACATAGGATACTTTTTATCTAATTTTTTTTTTTTACCGAAAATCACGAACGGGAACGAGGGAAAATGGAATTGCGCGTACGAAGTCGCGGGCAGAAGCTAGTTTTTTATAAATACATGCGGTCGTTTTCATTATTGCCGTAATCATGAGCATTTTTTTTTCTAAACTTCGGTTAATCGTATATGGCCATGTATATGCAGGCGGCCAAGAAGCCCAAGTGCGGCCTGCTGAGCTTCCTGCAGGAGCTGGAGGCGCTGAGCAGCGCCTGCGAGCGCATCTTCGCGGGCAGCGGGCGGCGCGCCGACGTGGAGCGCTGGTACGTGGCGCTGGCCGGCGCCATGCTGCAGGCCGTGGCCGGCGCCGCGCACCCGCGCACGCCGCGCGCCGTGCTGCACCTGGAGAACTACCACCGCCTGCACGCCGTGCTGTCCGCGCTGCGCCTGCCCGCGCTCGAGGCGCTGCGCCGCGAGTGCCGCGCGCGCTACTCCGACGCGCTGCGCGCCTACGTCACGCAGTACTTCGGCCGCCCGCTCGAGAAGCTCACGCAGTTCTTCGAGGTGCGAAGCACGACAGTATCGGCCGGCGCAGGGTCGACATTGTGGGCCGGCCCAGGGCCGCCAGTGTGGGCCTGGCCAGGGCCGCCACCCTGGGCCGGCCCAGGGCCGCCAGTGTTGGCCAGCCCGGGGCCGCCAGTGTGGGCCTGGCCAGGGCCGCCAGTGTGGGCCGGCCCAGGGCCGCCAGTGTGGGCCGGCCCGGGGCCGCCAGTGTGGGCCGGGCCAGGGCCGCCAGTGTGGGCCGGGCCAGGGCCGCCACCCTGGGCCGGCCCAGGACCGCCAGTGTTGGCCAGCCCGGGGCCGCCAGTGTGGGCCTGGCCAGGGCCGCCAGTGTGGGCCGGCCCAGGGCCGCCAGTGTGGGCCGGCCCGGGGCCGCCAGTGTGGGCCGGGCCAGGGCCGCCAGTGTGGGCCGGGCCAGGGCCGCCATTGTGGGCCGGGCCAGGGCCGCCACCCTGGGCCGGCCCAGGGCCGCCAGTGTTGGCCAGCCCGGGGCCGCCAGTGTGGGCCTGGCCAGGGCCGCCAGTGTGGGCCGGCCCAGGGCCGCCAGTGTGGGCCGGCCCGGGGCCGCCAGTGTGGGCCGGGCCAGGGCCGCCAGTGTGAGCCGGCCCGGGGCCGCCAGTGTGGGCCGGGCCAGGGCCGCCAGTGTGGGCCGGGCCAGGGCCGCCAGTGTGGGCCGGGCCAGGGCCGCCAGTGTGGGCCGGGCCAGGGCCGCCAGGGTGGGCCGGGCCAGGGCCGCCAGTATGACGCGCGCGTGTTGCAGGGCGTGTCGGAGGCGGTGGCGCAGGGCGTGCGCGAGGACGAGGTGTGTTACCGCGCCGCCTTCAGCAAGCACGAGCTGCGCCGCGTGCTGGCCATGTACCCGGCGCACGAGGGTCAGTACCGACGCACTACACTCGTATACTGCCTCCCTACTCGACAGACACTCGACATCTCAGCATAGCGTCGACTCGCTCGAGAATGTAACACGGAGGTCCCCGAACAGTGCACCGATCACTCAACTAAACGACACACGGCCAAAAACTACTGTTTTGTAAGTTATAGGTATGATTGTAAAAGCATTTGAAATGAATAATATGTATATGTACAGTGCGCAAGTCCCTGCACCGACTGTACCGGACGGTGGAGAAGCACCTGAGTGAGGAGGGAGGCCTGCTGCAGGTGGTGTGGAGGGCCATGCAGGAGGAGTTCATCGCCCAGCATGTCGCGCTACAGGTCAGGTACCTCGACATTGTCCACATGTCGCCGCGGGAAATGGAAACTATTTATTTAGGTTTTTGTCTCTGCATAAATAATCATCATAAAATAAAAGGTCAACCGTGATAGCTGCTAAATTTGTTTGTATAGTGAGTTAATAAAATCCAAGTCATGTCCATGGAATAGTAAAAACTAGGGATAATCCAACACAATTCCTGCCGGAACCACTGTCTCACGAAACGAAAATATAATCATACATTTTACTACAAATAAATTAATATTTTGATTTGTTGACATCTAGAAATAAACCTTAAACCAATTATGTAGGATTTATTTTGATTACTGCAAAGTATATTTATAAGTCAATCTTATGTCAAACTAGATTTAATGGACAAGTAAATTTTGCTACCCGGCCATAGATGGCGGTGTTCTTAGTATTTGCAATTATACATTGTGTTTTCGTTACAGATAAGGTTGACAATTTTTTTTTCGACTAGGTTCAGGACATTGCACGTTTCATTATCGATATATCAACTAAGTTAAAGAATATACTTAACACACAGTCACTATAAATATCATTTATTTGATATTAAAAAATGGAATTAAAATGGATTGCGGGCATATTTTGCTAGATAAATCCGGATGGCATCCAATTAATTCTACCCGTTGCATCTATCCATTTTTCTTTATTGCTACCGACCGTCTTTAAGAAACCTGAACATCTATAAAATCTGTACTGATACACCACTATTTGAGTAGCGGACAACTTATTAGAATGAAATCAATGAAACCGCACGGATGGTGCGGTGGCTGGGCAACCGTCTGCCGCGCCATCCCCGCGCGGAACTACTCTTTGTGGGAGCCACACGGTGTAGTGCCGGGTCTGGGTGTCAGTGTATGTCAACTTATATGTTTGCACACACGACACAGGAGAAAATCCTAGACGTTGTCCCACAGACAACGTTTTTTTTAAAAAACAAAAAACTTACTGTTGGTTTGAGACTCCACCATTTTTAATATTGATTGTATTACTGTTACGTTTTTGGAACGTCTGCAGCGAAAGTAAGACACATTATCGTAATTATGACACGCGCGTCACGCCTACATCACACTGCCTCAGTTTTTACTATTCCATGGTCTTATCGAGATAAATAATTAGACTGAAATCAAATCAAATTATGATTAGAAAATAATACAACAATACCCCAAGAACTACAGGAATAGCGTAAGACTACGTGAAGCATTGACGAACCAATGACATTGACACAAAAAGGTTTTAAAGATTTAAATCGAAATCTAAACACACAATATTAGCAGATGTATACTTACACTATGAAGTCATAGTGGCACCGACTTGTAACCTATCAGTGGGTGTGTAAGCTATATGTAAGTATGTATGACCAATAATAGTTATTTTTTTCTTTTTAGTTTTTACTTTTCGTTTGTTTTTGAAGTCGGTTTTTTTAAACGCAGTTTTTTATTTATATTTTTTAGTTTAGTACTAGAATATTTTATATTATGTTCAATCTACATCGGTGCAAAGTTTTCATCAATACATATTATTCAAGCTCAAACACCAGGTAGCTACTGTTAACCATTGTTCTCTTAGCTATCATACTACTTCATCATTAAACATTTAGTGACAACCACACCACACCTAGGTGTAAAGTTCTCATCAATACAAATTAATCAAACCCAAACACAAGATAGCTACTGGTAACCGCTGAGGAGTTCCCTCAACTATGGTACTACTTTATTATCAGACCCTTATTGGCAATCACATACCACGTAGGTATAAAGTCCTCATCAATACAAATTAATCAAACCCAAACACAATGTAGCTATTATTAACCGTTGAGGAGTTCCCTCGACTGCCTATCGGCTCCATCATCAGATCAGCTCCAGACCTTTATCAGATTGTAGTGGTTTTAAATACTTAACGAAAAAATTAACAAATGCACTAGTCGCCCCTATAATTTTTAAAAGTTCCCCTCAGTTTCCCTGGGATTCCCTCATCAGATCCTGACTTCATGACGATGGGACCAAATGACAAACCTACCCTTTCAAACAAAAAAAGAATTCTTGAAATCGGTCCAGGGCGTCTTCGAGAAATCGAGTAACAAAAAAAATCAGTCGAATTGAGAACTTCCTCCCTTTTTTTGAAGTCGGTTGAAAAGTCGAGGTCGGGTTTGTCCCACTTAAAAATATGTAACTCAGTATTATTAATTTCTTCTAAATGTATTATTGTCGATTTTCTTTGGGTTCGACATTATTTGAAATGTTGCATTGGTATAAATAGTTGCAATGCCTATCTACCAATATTTGATGAAGATAATTGAGCGAGAGTCGTCTGCAGGCCCGTATAGCGGCGTGCTACCCGGCGGCGGGGCTGACGCTGCCGCTGACGACGCAGCACATACTGGACGCGTTCTCCGACATCGCGCGCGAGCACTGACTGCCGCACTGGGCGCGCCTTCGTACTCTGTATATAATTTTAAATTATAATTTTACCTATATACGGAACCTTTACAAACTAAGTGCGTATAATTTTAATCGATTCATTCAGATTTTTTATTACGTGTGAATTGTATACAAATTCTTAAAATCCAGTTATTAGTGTTCGTATACATCTGACAAAGAAAAACAAAGATTTCATATTGATACACTGTGCGGAAATAATAATGTAAACTTGCTGTGATATTTGTATATTGAGTATCTTGGTTTGCTCGCTGATGAGACTGAAAACTGAGATGAGATATAATTTATTATATATTATGTTTACTTGGCGCTCCATCAGACCAGTTACAGGTGCACAGTTCAGGTGAGGTCTGTGCACAGGTATCAAAGTGATGTCACTACATTATATACTCATTTGTTAAGTTTCATAAACATGTATTATTTATTTATTCTTGTAATAAAAGTGGTCATGTATTAAACAATACATTCCAAACTCGTCTGATTCAATTCCTTTCCCTTTGTATAATACAAATACAACGCGAGGCTTCCGCGTGATGCGGATAATTGAAATAGGTGATGTTTTTTTGTTTGGCGAGATATTTCTTGGGGACATTGATGCGCATGTGCTATATTCTTTTCGTGTGGTGGTTTATTTAACACAGGGGTTTGTACATTTACGATATGTATATATGTACTTGTAATACTTGATATCACTTTGCTTTACTTATAAAGTAACCACTGTTATATATGTAGTTTAGTTTATAATATTACAGGGACAACTTTAGAATCACGCCATCAGGCGAAAATTTTTGTAACAAGGAGTATCAATGACAATTTCTACTTAATGCATTAAACTGTTTAAAACGAACTTGTGGATGCTGTTTAAATGCATTTTTTTTTAACAAGCAAGGACGTTCGGATAAAGTATTACTGGTGGTTTTTGGGATAACGAAAATTCTTTAGTACAAAGTCTGGAATTGTGCACAGTATGTGGCAATTGGGTCATATGGGACTCTACAAAATGTAACGTACCTAATGTGAAAAAAACTGGGTGTGTAGTGGCATTACGTGCCATTATACGCAAACCATATCCGTCAGTTTACTACGTTGCGTTGTGAGTGCGGCCGGCGGCGGTCCGTTATCGAAAACCTGAACTCAAAAATAAACGAAATGAAAAAAAAAACTATTAAAACAAAAATATATTGATTAGAATACTAAATCGACTATTCATTGATTTTTATTCAATTTTTGTAAATGTAACTGACAAAGGCGTATTCCTTATTTCTGACATTTCTTTTACAAAATTTGAATATATCTTAATTTCACAGCAAAATTAATCCAAAGACTTCGGGGGCGAGTAGTTCAGGTACACCAGTCCAGACGCCTTGGCCTGGAACAAAACAAGACTTATATCAAAATACACAAGAGAATTCATGTTGTAGTCTGATGCACAAAACATTCAACCACTGCTTGTCTTTGGGAATGTGGCAATTGTAATACTGTTATTGTCTTTTTAAGGTACAACATTTTATCAGTATAATAATTAATGCAAACATTAATTTAAGCTCTTGACTACTGGTATATAAAACACAATAGAAAATATATTGTGTCTTGTGTGGATCTGTTTTCCGGCACACAACAGATTAAACCTCAACAGAAGGTAGTCAACCAACAATAACAGACTATTGATGATTCTGATCTAATTGTTAATATAATGTATATAACTGATCTAGCCATAAAAAGGGTGTTTCTAAAATTATGATGTAATGAAACATTGAAACACTTACAACAACCAAAGTCCCAGCGGTAAAGGCGATTCCAAACAAAAGGGCGAGGTTGTAGCGGCGCTGGTTGGCGTCGTACTGAGTCTGCCAGGAGCCGCGGGGTACCGGCAGCTCGTCCATGGTGGGCGGCTTGAAGTGTTCATTGTGGTAGCGCCTCACTGCAAGCCACAAGCCACATTCACAACTTGAATACTAAATATTACCATCTATACTCTATTCTATTCTATTTAGTTACCACCATCATGGTTCATGTTTGTTTTGGTATTACCTATGACACAGGGAAAATACACTTGTGTGGAGGAATATTAAAATGATAAAGTGACACCTCACCACTCTCTTCTACTCACTTTTTCATTATAGAATGACAACATGGTGGCAACATTTACGAAGTTATTTTCCTTTAGATGACTTTAGCGCTAGCTTTAGGGATAACTTTTTGACAAACAATTTAGGTAAATACAATATATTTATTTAGACAAAAACTAGGACTAAGAATAAAAGGTGGACGTAGACTCTTGAAACAACAAATATAATAGTCTGATAACCCATTACACACTCCTGGACACATTAATAAAACACTGACATCTTGTTGCTTCGACCATTTCCAACTGACATAGTATCCATCCTTTTTTTATTGTCCTTGCCTACCACTATCTTTTTAGGATTCAGGAATTCTATAAGTCTCCACTTTGGAACAAGCCTATAGCTTCACTAAGAGACTGGCTGACTGAGAAAAATGATTTTTATTTCTTGACGCCTCTCGATATTTACAATGATGTGATTTCAATTATAAGATAAACAGTTCAATATTCTATCCTTTTTCATTTATGTTAAGTTTGAAACTTGTTAGACTGTACACCTAACTCAAAATGTACCTTTACCTTATAGTTACTACATATTCTGAACGACACTTATCTTTTGCCTTGCTGATAGGATATATAGGAACGTCTAGTAGTAAATGAATTCATTTTAACCGCATAGATTATCCTTATGTATATAGGTATGGTTATTTTGTGCTTTAGTAATAAGATTTTAAAATTGTTATATGAAACGAAGATTACGTTAATCTGGAGAGTACGTAACTCAAGAAAAACAAAGTCTACTGTAATGGGAGTTAGGTTAAGTTTGTAGTTATGTAACGTTTTATGTGATAAATTAAATTTGTTTTAAAACAGCCTCTTGTAGGTTGTAGTAACAAGCACAAAAATAATAGCTAATAGAAACAAGAGACCATCAGATGTGTCAGGTTTAAACTAAGTAAGTTTGTCATAATCATTGAGTTTCTCGATCCGTAATGTTATATTATTATTCGTTAAAAGAATACTTACCAGATTGTTGAAATAGCCTGGATACAATGGTTCGTGAGGCGATCATGATGATTGGAAATTAATTTACACGTTAAGACACTGGAATTAAGACAGAAAGACGACCAACTGGATCAATCATCAAATCGTCGGAAGTCGGTTCTAAAAAATATGTCTGACTCGGAATCGCAATCGGAATAATTTCCACAGAGTATAAAGAGAGTAGAAGACAAAGAAAAATAATAAAAACTACCAATTATTCATAAATATTTTGCAGCTGTAGCCCAACATTTACAAAAGAAACATGTTTTCAACTATTCACTTATTGTTTAATGGTAGTTATATAATAAAAAAAAAGTACGAATGAACATGTGAAGTTGTTATGTGATAATCAAAATAGATATTAGTAGTTTTTGAACTTTGTGTGCTGGCAATACTAAATTAATGTCAAAGTACGAATGCGATTGGCATTTATTCTCTGTCTACGGAAAAGATAATAAAAAAATTCATTTGTATGTAAAAATACTTTAAGGTAATAGGTTTGAAATTATGTATTTGTGTGAAATATAATAATTTATCATTCTGTAAAAATTACTTAATTTATAAAAATATTACACTCATTAAATTAAAACTAGCTACTTCCGCGCGGTTTCACACGCTTTGCTCAGCTTCTATTGATGCGCTATCCAACACAAAAATAATTATTTCAATTAGCCTTTTAGTTACGGAGATTAGCGCGTTTAAACAAACAAACAAAAAAACTAACTCTTCAGCTTTATACCTATAATAAGTATAAGATATAAGATATAGGTTTAGATCAATATTTTTGTTTTTTAATTATTATTTCATAATTTGCCGCCCTACTGTCTATCATAACTTTTTGCCGAGGAATTCAGTAAGTAGGGTAAATCTATGATTCTAGTTCTGGCTATCTTTCACATGCATGTAAAGAGAGTGATATAGTAAACGGACCGAATAGAGATAGTGATGTGTGACTTGGGAGGGAGTGTTTCAACTTTAGTCCCCGTCCGTAGTTTAATAGGCTCGCCCCCAAGCCCCAACTAAATAGTCTGGTCAATTTACGACTGAAATTAATAATTGAACTCAATCCATAGTCTATGGATCAATTTTTAGGGTTTCGTATCTAACGAGTAAAAACGGGATCCCTATTACCTACTTCTAGACTTTGCTGGCCGACCAACTGTCTGTCTGTCTACCACCAGGCTACATCTCGTGATCCGTGATACAGGTTGTATCTCAATAACCGTGCTAGCTAGACGAAAGATTATGTAGGTATTTCTATTGTCGCTACTCGCTACTAGCTACAACAAGTTTTGTAAGGTAGGCCCGCACTAAGTTGTTCTCCTGTGCCACATATACATAGCGCGAATTACCGAACTGGACCCACGAAACTGGAAATTGGTAGTTATGATATGCCCCTTGGGGACTGTAGACGGCAAGAGGGGATTTCCTGAAATTATACTGAACGGGAAAACGGAAACATATTTTTGTGGGTACTACAAAGTTAATACATAGTATTGTATACCTACATAGCTAATTAAATAGTATATATTTTATACCTACTTATCTACTACATTATCATATAATATATTATCATCGACAGTATTCAAGAACTCAATCTTGGTAAATCTCATGCTGTCTGTTTATGATTTTTCAAAACACTAACGACTTAGGAGAATTTATTTATCCAACCCTGGTATAGATTTGTGAAGAAGAAATACAGTTCTTAATCAACTTAATAATTTTATCAGTTTAATGTTCTAAAATTTTTTCTAATTAGGTACCGACACTATATGTAGCGGGCTACCTGCCATGCTACAGCTACATGTGTTTCTTACAAGACTAATTTCAGATTGTATAGAATACTAGGGTGAAGTGGGAATATGACAAACCACACACATAAACATGTATGTACATACATGCATGTTTGTGTAGACGTCCCTACACCTGGCATATTATTTAAATATTAAGAGTAGAGCGTAAATATTGTGTTTTTATCCGTTGCATCATGTAGTATTCATGCAATGACTCAGCTGAAGTGTGTGTCATGTGTCACAAAACATAGTGAGCGCGGCCGGTGGCCCGGTGGCGGTGTTTGTTGCCACATTAAACATAATGATCGCTAGCATGGCTCACTACATGAACACACAACTCGCTATCAGGCCGGCGACGGGCGCGCGGCGGCATGCGGCACGGTGAGCCTCGACAGATTACGTGAAAGAAAATGATGCCAACGAACGACATCACACACAGTACGATTGGTGGGGTCAGTCAGTCAGCCGCGGAGTCGCGAGAGACGCGGGTGTGGCGGTGCGCTTGCGCAACAGATTCATAACTCGCCGCGGTGCGTGCCCTTGCGCCGCTAACTTCTTTGTTTACTTGCTTTGTTTGTTTCGGATGGACTGGCCGATACTGATCAGATCACGACTATTACCTACAACTGAGATGGTGTGGTCTGCTGCGCGGCCAGTTCACGCGTGTGCGCATTTTGTTGTTTCGTTTGTGATATTTCGGAGATAAGTAGTGCAGTGTGGTTGCGATATGGAGTGGTTTAAGGGCCTGGCGGGGCGGGTGCGGCGGGAGCCTGGCTCGGAAGAGGACGGGCCGGATTCCAGCTCGCCACTGCTGGAGACAGCCCAAGAGCGGCGTGAGCGCTGGCGCAGCGTGTACGTCATCTACTTCACAATGTTCCAGATGTCGCTGGGCTTCAGTATCGTGCTGACCGGCGTGTGGCCCTACCTCGACAAGGTGAGCTATCTATACGGCATGGCTTGAACCAACACAGCCCGTGTGTTCAGTAAAAGGCGCTTCATAGAGCGAAGGAAGAAGATAGGTACCAAAATTGGTCCATGTGTACTTAGAATTAATGGACTATGAGTAGTGTGCGTGAGTAACCTTACCTTTGTCTTCGTCATAGAGCAAATCTGAAAGATAAGTTTAGTGTTATTTACATAAATTGTTCTAAATATCGTTCTATTACTTCTTTTAATTTTCGGAGGGAGGTAAACAGAAGTAAAAACATTAAATATAACATTGTAACACCTATTTTTCGCCAGTTACGTTATAAAAGATTCATCATTTACCTAAAAGTCCACGACCCTATTGAGTAAACAACGGACACAGATCCAATCTAGATTCCGTACTAAGTAACCACTCGTGTCCGTGGTCCCAGTGGTTACTGGGAAGGGAAAGAGGTCATTTAAACAAATCTTAAATTCAGGGGTCCTGACTTTTCCAAATCTGACAGGGTTACATAGGAAAATGTTTGGCAAAAGAACAAGTTCCTTAAATAGGACTAGGCCGCCTATGGTTCTGTTATTCTGCGTTCGAAACTCGTAATGTGTTGTAGGTAGTAGGGAACTCCATGCGCAGTGATTTAACAGCGCCGCCGCGCTGCTGTTATCTCGGCGCGCGCGCTGTTAACAGCGTCACAAAGTTGACAAAAACTATTTATCACAGTATTAAACTATTTACCAGTACGCCGGTACCTAGGTACTTCATGTTTATCACCCAATAAATATAATGACATAACAAATAGCAGCAAGCCGAGCAAGGAGTAATCAGAACCTCATTACTAGATAGAGAGCTCCAGAAATCTTTCAATCATGGCAACCAATCTCATTGGTCCTTCAACGGACCTTGTATTCTCAACGAGTAATGAGAGACGGGAGAATGAGAGAACAGGTAGTTTGTATATTTAATATCTCTACATGCATCCTATATACTTGGTATACCTCTATATCCTATAAACTCAGGTGGTTTTTTGTCTAGTAGCCACTTAGCCAGAAGATAACTCAGTAAAATGGTTGATATAAATAAGCATATGAACGTTTATTTACACGAAGTATGGTAATTACAAAATATAATATAATTATAAAATAGTCAAATTAATCCTTCAAGCAATGAAGCACAAGTCGAGTGAACCAAAGAATTCGTCGTATTGTTCTTCATTTAGTTCAATTAATATTTTAAGGGAAGCAGTACACCGTATAGATATACTATACATACATGAATACATGCGTCGAGCATGCGTGCAGTAATAAAGAAGATATAGAGAAAAAATGGTATCGGTGGTGTACATATTATTAGCTTATAGCTGACGTCGATGTCGATGTCGGGCCCGCAGGGAAAGCGCCCAGGGCGTGCTACTGCTGAGCAGTGACAAGTGTCTGGACTGCGGTGTGCTGGCTGCGTGCCGATGATGAATTTGAAACAGAAAGTGGTGGTCGCGTGCTTGCGAACAGCGTTTTTGTTTATTGAATGCTCTGTGGCGACGTATGAAGGCTAAAAATAGTCGTTATTGAGAAGTACGAGGTCGGCACGCGCCCGTCCCCGCCGCGTCTGTTTGGCCGCCAGCCGGGGAAGGGCAGTTTGCGACCACGGCACGGCGCTGTCCGGTGACTGTTACCACAGTATTTGCCCAATCCGAATAACAGAGACACAAAATGCCGATCCACATCGATTATGACGACTATACCAAGTACTTAGCAGTGTTGCACATGTGCTATCTAACAGTTGGTGACAGCTGGCAGCCCTACAGTTCCTACAAGTAGCGGATTTAAGTAATACTTAATATTAGACTAGTTAGTACCCGGTTGTTGAAACTGATAAAATATCAAAAAAAGTTAATAATATTATTATTTGGGTGGGTTTGTGGTTTGTATCGGATCAGCCGTTACAATTCAGGTGTTAATGAAAGTTATTCTTTAATCAATAAAAACAATACGTCTCATTATTGGCTCCCGGACACTTACACATACAGTGTAACGGTACGTTGCAGCTGGAGCCGGGCGCACGGAAGGAGGTGCTGGGGCTGGCAGTGGGCGCGCACCCGCTGGGCCAGCTGGTGTTCTCCCCGCTGCTGGGGCTGTGGGCCAACCGCGCCGGCTCCGCGCGCGCGCCGCTGCTGGCCACGCTCGCGCTGTTCGTGCTGGCCAGCGTGCTGTACGCCGAGCTGCACCTAACGCGCCCCTACGCCAAGTACTGGATGGTCTTTGCCAGATTCCTGGTCGGCGTCAGCTCAGGTTGCCAAATTTATTTCACTTATCAACAGCACAGTCTTGTCTAGTTAGAGGTAACATTTGGTATTCATCCAACCTATGTGCACAATAGAGGAGAACCGAACAGTTACCGAAGAACAAACCTGACCTTAATATTGTGATAGTTAAATCAATGAGATTTTCTGATTAATTGTGATTATTTTTTGTAAAATAAAAATGTAAGCAAGGAGCATGTGACGTGTCCAGCTAACATCGCGGTGGCGCGGTCATACCTCTCGGCGGCGACGCTGGTGGGCGAGCGCACGCGCGCCGTGGCTGTAGTGTCGCTGGCGCAGGTGCTGGGTTTTGTGGTGGGCCCCGCGCTGCAGGCCGCCGTGGCTCCGCTGGGCCCAGGCCAGCCGTACCCTCCGCCCGGAGACTTCTCCTCGCCGCTCCGCCTCGACATGTACACCGGCGCCGGGTGGATCAACGCCGCGCTTGGCTTCATCAATCTCTTGCTCTTCTTGCCCTGGTGCTTCAAGGAAAGGAAGATTGCCGCCAGAGAAGCCATGATCGCGCAAGGAACAGACAACGGTGCGTTACTGACTTTTATGCAGTTTACATACATAAGCTCACGCTGACGCCTGTCTCCCATGGGGGTGTGTACGTGTTTTATGCAGTTTATCTTTTCTTATTTGTTATTGACTGAGGGAATGTTCTACACAGTGTAGGTACTATATATTTAGGTATGTACTCGTTTACGTACCCATAAAAATACACTTAACTAAGTAAATCTATATACATATATTATATAGATTCAGATACATCAGTACTCTATACAGCACCCATAATTAAAAGTTATCATAATTTAATAGACACTAGGTGGCGCTCCATAGATTGCCATTTTACGGTAGACCAAGAGCCGCCAGAGGATATAGTACAATAGACTAGATGACAATTTTTTATTTGAATGTCCGCCTGAAAGATTATTTTATTAAAACATTAGACACGTATTTTTTATTTACTAACAGAAACAAATACTTTTGACGTTGTAATGATTTCAAACAAATGTCGCGTGACGTCTCTTCTATGTACGTACGTTTTATAAGTAGAAATGACGTTTTAGCTCCCACTCCTAAACTTTGGTTCGTTTTATTACCGACTTCAAAAAAATGAGGTACTATGTTCGGCTCATTGTTTTTTTTATTTGTTCACCAATCGGTGAACGAATTTTCACCAATCACCAACTCCACCATTTGTGAACCGATTTCCAAAATTATTATTTTGTTTGAAAGGGTATATACTCCCGAGATGGTCCCATTTCCATGAGGTCAGGATCTGATGATGGAATCCTAGAACTTTCGATAATTGTAGGGGCGAGAAATGCGTTTATTATGTTTTTCAATTAGGATTTTTAAACACTACAGTTTGATAAGGGTGGATTCGACCTGATGATGGACTCGACAGACAGTCGAGAGAACTCCTCAGCGGTTTATATTAACTACCTTGTGTTCGGACTTGATTAATTGGTATTGATGAGGACTTTACACCTAGATAGAGTGGGGCTGTCATTAAGGGCCTGATGATGAAGAAATGTAATTGTTAAGGGAACTCCTCAACGGTATACAGTAACTACCTTGTGTTTGGGCTTGTAAAATTTGTATTGATTAGAACTTTGCACCTATGTAGATTATAAGTTACAAATCGTATCTATGTAGCCTTACACTGAAAATAATAAAATATAAACTGCGTTTAAAAAACCGACTTCAAAAGACCTTTTTGGTTTTTTGAAATCGGTTTTTTATTTAATCTGTCAAACACCGAGCGGTCACCGGTGACCGCGACCTATTGTTCTTTAATTGTGTCTATAAAACCGGTACTCGACGAGTTAAGTATTATTTTCTTATACAAAATTAAACAATCCGTGTCTAAAATTTTGTCATTACCTAATTATGTTTAATTTTCATACCCCGTGATCATCCACATTAGGAACAGAGAGTGTACCTGGCACTTTTTGATCCCTAATGTAGTGTCGGTAGCCTGCAGTCTGTAGTGACGTATGTCAATGAATTCATGATCGTGTATGTAAGAGGCTCATGAGTACAATCTACGTTGTAGAAAATATCTTTTTAAATCTTGGGTTACAGAAAAAGAAGCTCTAAAAGCTCTGAAGCCGGACCTGGTGAGCAGCTGGACGCTGGTGGCGGCATTCTTCGTGCTGGTGTTCAACTTTGTGTTGCTCGAGACTCTGGCCACAGTGCTGACCATGGACCAGTTCGCCTGGACCAAGCGCCAGGCGCTCGAGTACATGGGCGCGCTCATGAGCGCCGGCGCCGTGCTGGCCTGCATCACCTTCGCACTCATCGGCCCGCTCACGCGGTTCTTTGAAGAGCGGTAATTACACATAATTGCTACTGTTTCTGTTTATCTACTTTAGAAATTGGCCGATGCAATCGAAATTGGTTAGATAGATCCCTTCTTAATATTGTTCCATAATTAAAGGGTGACAGTATTCCATTAGATATACGTACGTGTACATGCGTGCCATCACTCGCGTGGTAACTTAAGATTCCAGCTTTTTATACCGGGGCGGTGGCAAACAAGGCGTTCCGCGTGTGCGCACCAGTGGAGTAATATCAAAATATCAATTTTACATACGTATACTGCTGAACATAGGTTCTAATGGATTTTGTTTATTTTTCACGGTTTCATTTATTTAAGATTATTTCTAACGATTATTTTACAATTCTGAATAAAGCGGAGAATGTTTCAGCGCGCTGCTACTGTGGGGCGGGTTCTTGCTGACGGGCTTGGCGTCCGTGCTGTGCATCCCGTGGGGCCCGGCGCCGCCGCCGCTGGCGCCCGCCGACGCCGCGGAGGCGGGCGGCGGCTGCCCGCAGGCCTCGCAGCCGTGGTGCGCCACGTCGCGCGGCCTCACCCTGCCGCAGTTCCTGGCGGGCTACGCCTGCGTCTCCGTCGGGTACTCGCTCGGTGTCACGCTCATCCAGACGATATTCTCCAAGGTGCTGGGCCCCAGGCCTCAGGTGAGTCTGTGTGTGTGTCGCGCGGGTAGTAGTCTCGCCACCTGTCGCGGAGGCCGGCCAGCAGCCGACGTTTCCGTTTCGTGTGCAGGGCGTGTGGCAGGGCGTGCTGACGGGCGCGGGCTGCCTGTCGCGGGCGCTGGGCCCGGTGTTCGTGGCGGCGGTGTACGCGCGCCACGGGCCGGTGGCGACGTTCGGCAGCACGGCGGCGCTGACGCTGGCGGCGCTGGCGGCGCTGCGCGCGGTGTACGGGCGGCTGCGGCCGGCGCCGCTGGGGGCGCCGGGGGCGCTGGGGGCGCTGGGGGCGCTGGGGGCGCGCGCGCCGGCCGCGGACCACGAGCTGCGCGTGCTCACCCGGGACGAGACGTGACGTCACCTCTTGCCATGCCAAGTATCCTGTAGCTGAAGAAGACTGATGGCGGCGCGCAATGCGACGTTGCTACGAGTATTTCTAAATGTACCTAGTATATGTAAGTAAGTAAATTATTAGTGAAGGCCGGCACTCGCCACTGATACACGAGTGCTTACATCGCAGTCAGTGCATTATTCGAAGCCACAAATAATTAGGCAAATCAGGTAGTAAGCTCAGCATTAAACAAAACTGACTGGCGGCACTAGTGCTCGGTACTGAGTAAGTAGGACAAAGGCCGCGCTAATTATATGCCGATGACAGAGCAAAGTGCGATTGCCGAATACATATTTAAACTGAAATCAAACAATGCTTGATTCGTTTTGTGTATTTTTAATGTATGAGTGTGACGATAGTGTTTCAAGTACCTACATATTATGATCATTTCGAATAAGAAAGAAATAAAAAATAAATAAAAAGCATATATACGGTCGAATTGAGAACCTCCTCCTTTTTTTGAAGTCGGTTAAAAATAAAATAAATTGCGACGTCATTAAGTTAATGTTGAATTAGTTAGTGTCGGTGTAGGTGTAGGTAGGACTAGGAGGGAGCGGAGCGAGCGGCTCGACTCAGCCACACGTGATATGTACATATGTATATTTTTTACCAAAAGAACAAAATGAGCTGAGAAGGCATACTAATCAATTTCTTTATTTAGTCCATATTATTTTTTGAAGGGTTTACATAATTATAATTTTAAGGGTTAAGGTAGAAAAAGGGCTTCTAGACTAAGATATATGGGCGAGTGCATCTGAGTGCTTGTTTATGGTCCGCAGATGAAGGCATGGCCATCTCCATAATTATAAAATGAAGCCACTGCATAGTGTACGACCCCCCACTGCGGGCCAGTGCAGGACAGTGCAGGACAGTGCAGGACAGTGTTACATACATTCCTATACTCCCTGCATGTTAAGGACACACAGCGCACACGGCATAATATTAATAAGACTGAAAATAACAATAACATCTGACCCATCAAGTATGGTATTGTTACAAACAATCCTATCAATGTTATTTATTTGTAAATAAAATAAATAATTTATCAGTTCGTACTGTATCAATGGCGTACCTTAATATGATTTGTGAAACAGCGATGCATGGATGTATAATAAATAAATATAATAAATAATGCCTTCGTGAAAGGAATCATTTCACAACAATAGGAAGACGATATACTATATGAGAATACCGACTACAAAGTATAACAAATTATGAACAGTACAGTAACAAGGTGTAGTGAGTGGATATGCTACTAGTATTCAATACTTTGTCGTTCATGTACCGCGCACTGACGACTGATACGGCGAATACTCCGTTCATTGAATCGTCCCTCACTGACTCGCTCGTGTCTGCAGAGTGCATGGTGCATTACACGTACGTGTTTAGATACATGTTTAACTAATGCAGTAATATAGTTTCAGTTCCCAGCAACAACTTTATATTTCGTCACACATCTAATGCCAGTATGATGATAGATTGTTAATTAAGTATATAATTAACGCCTCGACCGCACACACCTGCGGTTAAACACGAAAACGATAAGTAGAAGCGGTGGCACTTGCACAAGTTGCTTGTCTGTCATATGATTGGATTGATTTTGTCTTCGTTTCTGTAATTCATAACTTGATGGAAAGCCGAAAAAGACGAGAGTTGATTTAAATTACACTAATACACTAATAAGGTACTTGTGCGAGTCAGACAATGTTTTAACATTTTTATATTATATCTTCCGTGACACATACTAAATTAATTATTCTGTTTTTCGGCTTTATGTTTTGGTACTCAGTAGCAGCGCGACAGTCGCCGCGTCGCGGATCGCGGAATGCTGCTCATCAATATGAGCCTATGGCTTAAAACTAGTCAAGTTCCTCGTCAAATAATTACGTGAGTAGGCCGAAAAACATAATAATTAGTTTTAAGACAACCAACAAAGGTTGTTGCCAAAGTATTATGTGGATCAAACCGCAGTGTGGTCTGGGCCTAAGATCGGTTGCAGCTTCAGCATCAGTCCGTGGGAGGCCCCGGTTGGACTATAGGCTTCCTTTATAAAAGAGGGGTTTGCCACAATCTCAACGCTTAGCAAAGGGGTTAGATATTGCAATTTAAAAGGTTTAGGTTAACCATATTGAATTGACTGACGACACCCGCCGCCCGCGGCACGAGTAGCGTGGTGACAATGTCGTTACAGCTGACATCTTTATTATTTGACTAAAGTGGGGTTCGTGCATGTTTACTGTAGTATTAGCTGAAGTCCCCCGCTGGGTGAGCACACCTCGCCGTGGCTACTGTAAATGTAAGTACAATATGTAGTAGGTAGGGTGTACGTTATCAAGTATTATAGTGACGATACATACTGATGTCCGTGCGTGAGTACGTGCTGGTATTGACGTACTATTGCCACTGGCCCGTACTGCACTGGCACATAGCGTGACATATACATATACGAAGTGCTAATGACGTTGAAGAATATTGGTCATCATTGCCACCATCCCTGAGTTCCACAGACCAAGTGACACTGTTTAGAAGTCGTTCACTGCCCCCCGCGGTGTCTATGAAACCTTGGGATTTTATATCAGCAGGTACAGCGGCGTGGAGACAGACACAAGACACATGATTTAGTATCTTGTGTTGTTTCGTTATGTGATCGTAGTTTTGACTAAATTATATATATATAAGTACAGTGCCACTGCCAGTACGTACCCACATACAATGGTAATGTGAAATGTATATAATATATTAAAGTAGGTACCTAGATAATATTGGAAAAGGGATTTTGAATTTGTATATTTTTGCTATCCAGATTTTATAATTTAAATAAATAAATTACGTTACATCTTGCCTTTTATTTTATAATACCACAGTACAAACATAAACAAGTGTATTATATATATATGTATTCATATAATAGGTATTGTCCATGGACAGTGACACGAGTACACTTGAGACATCACACCACCATCCTCACACCAGGTACTGAGTGCGGACTTTATTTCATATTAATTAAATTTTATATGAAGTATAATCGTCAAGTATATCACGGCCTTTAACCTCTGAAAGGGTAGGCAGAGGTATGTCACTATGTAACACCCACTTTGGACAGGCATCTTGAAACAATCCAAATCGTATCACGCGCACAACATACATGTGTCAAAATCCGCGAGGTGTACGTACTATATAGTACTGTGTACTCATTCTCCGACCGAAGCACACTGTGGGAGCTGCAGGCTGTGTGGACAGGTCGAGGGCTCCAGCAATAAGCAGGCGTCGCCCTGTGTGGTGCCGTGCACCACCCTGTGTGGTGCCGTGCACCGCCCTGTGTGGTGCCGTGCACCGCCCTGTCGTAGTGTGGTCGCCGCTCTATGTTCAGGATCACGTTTCAGCGGACACGAGGCGGGGGCGCGGCGGGGACTCGGGGGCGAATGGCGGCTCAGGCGGGGGCGCTGCAGGGCGCAGGCGCTCCGCATCAGCCACGCGCTGCGGCAGGCTGGCGCTCCGTGTCTCCGGCACGCACAGCACCGCCAGCGCCGCCGTCACACTGCATGCGCCGTACAGAATGGCTTGCAGGTACATGCTCTGTAAACACATCACACGTTACGAGTGCTCGGCGTAACAGACCTCGGCTCGGACGTGTGCCCGTGGGACTGACCAGCAGCGGTGTCTGCGGCGCCAGCACGGAGCCGACGCGGCCCACCAGCGAGCAGGCGGCCAGCGCAGACGAGCGCGTGTGTGTGGGGTACAGCTCCGCCGTGAACACGTACAGGGAGTTGAACGCGAACGTGATCGACAGCTTGCCCATGAAGAACATCGCCAGGGTGATGCCTTCGTGATCTACGCGCAAATATTGCTTCATTATTAAACTGAGCCCGACTGACATTGCATGCTAATATTTTTAATAAACCCATTGGAAACTCAAATTAATGTTATGTTTAACATTACTGACCAGTGTGCTTACTATTGAAACCAATCTCAATGTCAATGCTATTTAAATCCAATAAAATCTCAATAATTATTCAATGTCAAAATTATACAACCACAATCGTAGCTGTTACAATAGCATTCAGAGTACGGAATATAAAGACAAACTCATTACCATTTAGTTCATTCAATAACCACGCAATACGGATGCAATGGGCGCTAGTGTTGCAACTCAAGAGTACGAAATTTCGCAATACCAATGTCGATCGATCGGAATTGGATTCAAGAGTAAGCCACCTGGCCCATGATGGGTCAGATTGAATTTCTGCACCAATTGCTTAATTGAGACTAAACTCTTGGCATTTTCTATAATGATGTTACGAAATTACTTACTTATGAAAAATGGCGAAACGCAAGCGATCCCACAGAGCAGAAATGCAAAAAATATGCACAACTTTCGTCCGATACGTTCGAGCGCCATCATGATGAGCACGGAGGCTGCGATCTCCATAGACATGTTGAGCGCGAAGTTGACGTACTTGTTCCCGGCGAGGGCCACCGAGTTGATGGTGAGGCCGTAGTACACGAAGGTGGTGGCGGCCCAGCACCAGCAGCACACCACGAACCGCCACAGCAGCACGCGCGACCGCAGCACGCTCAGCCACGCGCGCTCGCGCCCGCCCTGCGCCGCCGCGCGCGTCGTCTCCTGCAGCTTGCTCATCAGCGCCTCGTCTACCACTACCTTGTTCCATTGAGCTGCTTTCCTGATGACGCAGCGGTCTTGTCAACGTTGCCTTTAGCATGCAACCAGCGCGGGCTCTCGTCGAGTAGCAGCCAGTACAGCGGTAGCAGCAGTGCCAGGGAGTGAATAGTCCAGAGCAGGTGGCGCCAGTAGGGCACGCCCCAGGCCACCCATGCGAATAACACGCCGCCAACGCCGTACGCGATGCCGGTGGCGCACGCAAACACCGCGCGCAGCGAAGGGTGCGCAATCTCCACCACTGCGCAGAGTCAGCCGTCACACAAACAGTCTAAGACAAGAGACAGTGCATGTGATACTGGAATGTAACCTTACTCATCACGTAGCCGGCGCTATTGAAGCCGTATCCAAGCGCGGCCTCGAAGAACTCCATGGCCAAGTACATTTGGTAGTTGACGGAGAATGCTTTGAGGATGCCCATCACGCCAGCAAACGCAGAGAATAAGCAGAAAGCCGTTCGGCGGCCATATCTGAAATTGATCGTCAACTTGGCATTAAGTTAGTAGCAGTTGATGGACGATGGTGAGGTAGCGGCGTGTACTGACGTGTCCGAGACGTAGCCGGTGAGGACGAGCGCGAAGGGCAGCGCCACGTTGCGCACCGTGCCCACCAAGGTGCGCATCCACTCGCGGCACGCCAGGTCGAACTGAAACATGTCACGGTACTCCCACTACTACACTACGTACTAGTGTATAAAATTAACAAATTGCTGGTGGAGCGGAAGGTGATTTTTCTGTAAATAACAGGTATCATGTTGTATGGCATCAAATTACCTCAGCAAAAATGGTGTGGAAATTCTCGTAGACGAACGAGTCACAGGCGATGGTGTGGTTCTGATGAAAGAGTGTCGGTCGCAGGAGGCCAGGTCAGGCTGCAGCGGCTCGTACCGCTCGCACGCGCCGCCCGGCAGCAGCGCCGCCGCCGCGTCGTTCTCGAACTGCGGGTACCCGCCCTCGCACTCCGGCACCACGCACCTATACCATAGTCCATACTAATAAATTATAATTACATTTTACAAAAACTACAACATCAATCAACACACACCAAACATGTATTACCACAGGTAATATGTACTATAGAAACGTTTCATAAGTATCTGTTTATGGTTTGGTTGAAATAAATGCTTTGACTTTTAAACACTCAACAGACAAATTAATTCCCTAAATCACAGCCTACTCTGTAGCTACTCGTACTATACATTGATCTGTTGGGTTAAAATTAAATCAACATAAGTGTAATTGAATGTACCTATTTATTTATTTTTTTTTGGCAAACGAGCCGATGAATCGTCTGACTGACATTTGCAACATAAAAGGAGTTAGCAAGTGTGTTTGGAGATGGGGTATGGGGGGTAAGCACAACAACCTCCAATCTAGCCGGCCCGGCTGAGCCGGAAAATTGGCATTTTTACACGTATTGTGTGTGTTGCAGATTGCTAGAGCCGTTTGTCTCAGTTGTGGTTGAGAAGACTTCAGTGTCAGTAAAGTCTTGTTAGTACTAATTTTCTACGAATTTAATCTTCCAAGACTAAAGTGCGTAATTTTGACAATAGTAGTATCACAAACAACCCACACCGTTAATGATGGTAAAATGTAGTGGAGCACACGATACACTACAGTTAGATAATAAATTAAACTGTACGTGTGTGTAGTGAGCCTATTATTAAATTCCGCACAATAGTGTCAGGTTCTGTTTTCGTTTTTATGTATTTTTTTCTTATATTTTCTGCAACAGCAATCTGTGATCAATCGCAATGACTCAATGAGTTGTGGTCCACGTCACCAGTCTTTGGTTTTTCAGTAGGAAAGTGTTGTTCTCCATTTCCTCTCATAAGCTGTCGAACCTCGTAGCAAGGGTAGGAACGCTATGGCGTTTGAGTCTGGAGTATGTGACCCTTCCCGTGCCTTCGAGTTTAGAAGCGAGTTCATTGATGTGTGTAGATATTGTCGACTGGTAGTATTTGCTGTATCTGACAATTTCCTGCTTGAGTGTGCTGATGTTGTTTTTATGTATTACGTGCATTTATTTAAGCATCAGACCAGTCATTATGTGAGTGAAACTAAATACTAAACTAGCAAGACACTAATCTTCAGCTGCGCTATAGATGTTTGCCGTACATACATACATACATACATACTTACATAGATGCCTAACATTATATCTCAGACTATGACGAATAATGTATCTATATAGCAAGGTACTTATGTCGATATTAAAGTTATATTTCTATTTTTCATTATTCACCAGATGTACGGATACTATGTATCTGGTTATCGAAGGTGAATAATAATACTTACTGTGAGTCATTTTGTTGAGTGGAACGAGTTTATCAAAATAATGTAATTCCTAAGTAGGTGAATGATGTCGTAAGCACACACAGCTGGGGCACGGTCACACGGTAACTGTACCTTGTGCTGGACGGCGAGACGTCATGGAATGTATGGGACGTAAGTAGGTAGCAGTGTAAATCAGGCTACAGATAGCTCGACATACTGTTATCAAACCACCTCACGATAAGATTGAGATCGGGCGTCGATGCTGAGTCTACCTACACTACAGATTCAACGTCCACCCTCCCTAGCAACTTGAGTATTAACCATCAATAGGAGCTCTCTTATCTCGTCAAATATTGTCAACGCCTCTGCATGTTGACTACACGGTTGGCGTAGCGGCTGGACCATCCACCGGCTGCTACGCGCTACACGCTACGTGCTACGCGCTACGCAACGCAGCATGAGTTTAGTTGCAGCATGAAACGATTCTTTGTCTGGTCTGGGTGTTTGGCATGTATATGTAGTTATCATATTTTGTGAATGTGAATGGTGGCGCCACCTGTATGTTGTCACTGTCACTATTTGTACACCACTGCTGCGTTGTTATGCATCGTTCCATGAGACTCATGATAACAAAACGATTATGCATATTTTAATGATTCGATTTTTGGTGGCGATAAGTAATATCATTATGTTGAAAGTTACAAATCATCATTGCTGATTACAGCGCGGCTTGCGGTCACTGCCGTCGCTGGCACGTGGAATACTGGAGCTTGTATTACGGGCCTGCTCTTAAAAGAGGATTCTTGGCTGTATCACTTACGATTTCATAAAAACATAAGTGTTTTTCGTTATCCTGTGGAGCCGGACTAGCCTGCATCCAAGCATTTTTATCCTCTATATAATCATTAAGTTTGTAATATGCTTGTCTACATAAAGTTTTCTTTATACATAATTTAAATTCATTTAGTTGTTGTACATCGCCTGGTATCTTATTATAACATTTAACACAGAATCCCATGAACGAGACTTACTTACTTTCGCTAATCTTGAAATTGGCTGACTTAATCTATCCTTATGTCTAGTTTGATAGTGGTGTCTGTCCGACACTTTACCAAATAACTGTAGGTTTTTCCTAACATACATGATGTTTTCATAAATAACTTGACATGGAACGGTCATAATGTTGATCTCATAGTAAGTAGGAGGTTGCTGAATATAAACTGTGGTATCCATATGTATTTACACGCCACAGAATATGCAACTATTAACGTAAACCTATAAATAAGAAACATCATCACCATCAACCTGTAGCTATTGACGTCCAACTGCTGGGCAAATCACACCCTCACCGTCTCCTCCCCCCACTCGGAGAAGAAATTAGCGTTATAGTTTTATAGCGTTATTATCTTTGCTCAAGGTGAAATGGAGATTTCAAACTTTAATTTGAAATTAACTTGAGCGACTCCAAAATTTCAGTATAAGGTTTATATTTGGTTTACGCAAATATGACCACATTTCCGAATATCGTGCTAAGCTTAAGTGGCTGCCGATCCGCCTTCGCCGGGATACTCATATCTTATCTTTACTCTACAGTACGCTGTTCAATCCTACTACCCCTCATTATCTCAAAGAACGTTTCCAGTTCTTCCATGACACACATTCTAGACCAGTACGGTCATCGGAGGACATGAAGCTTGAAATGCCCCAGCATGCGAGCAGATCATTTGACAGATCTTTTACAGTTCGAGCTGTTCGACTGTGGAATGCTCTGCCACTTTCTATAAGACAAGCAGAGTCACTTGTTGCATTCAAAGCACTCGTGAAAAAGCATTATCTCTCCACGTTGTAATTTACCATTACTATTTCTTTTCTCTCTTTGTTTTTTCTTTACTGTTGTCTATTCATTGTTCATACTATATTTTATTTATGTATTTATGCATGTATATATATAGTTTTAGGTATATATTATATATGTTGTATGTAAATATATATTATTTTATTTAGAGAATATATATTTTACTTGTATATATAATTTATAAGTAGATACCTGAGTACACCTAGAACAACCTCCACTTTCATACAATAGTACTCCATTCACCCAAAGGTTGCCTGGTAGAGATCGCTTTTAGTGATAAGGCCGCCTTTGTACCCTACTATTCTTTATTATAACATTACATGTATATTCTATTAATTTAAGGTGTACAATAAAGATTATTATTATTATTATTAATTAAAACTAGTAACAAGCAGGTTCGAATATCCTCTTACGTTTACGTCTAGTAAAGTCGCGAGCGAGTGATAAAAGACTTATAATTATGTTATCTAGGTAAATTAGAGGTAAATATATGCGCATTCATTGCAGACGTACCATCTACAAGTTATAATTACTCAGCTTATATTTTCAATTTTGTGTTCTGTAGCTGCGCTGATTGTAATTTATGAAATATTCAAATTGCGGTCTGATATCTGTTGATAATACCAAGATCAATCACACAACAATCGTTCGCTATCTCGATACACACAACGTTGTACCTACACCGTAACACTGTGCCACTGCGACTCGGCTACGAAATATAGCGGCTGTACTCCAGGAGACAAGTCTTCGTTTCACAAACAAACATAATTACGTATGTACATACATATGTACATGTGTATAGTCAACGTATAATGATACCTATAAAACAGAGTCGTTTCATTTCAATATTTTTAATTTACGATTCATGTTTATATTATTGCTCGTCACTCAAATCATGAAGCAGGTAATTCTTCTCATACATTTGTAGGCCAGCCGTCCATGGCAGCTGTCCTTGATACTGAGCCGATATGAAGTCCGCTAAAAGGTATACAACAGTAGTTTATTTGCGTTAAATAGAGATGAGTGGTGCACTCACCGGAAGGGCACCGAGTCAGCAACGAAGATGTAGTTGAGCGAGTACATGCAGGCGAGCAGGTTGGGGATGCACAGCATGATCAGCATGTACCCCTGGTAGAAGCCGAAGGGTCCCAGCTGGGCCAGCGCGGCCTCGAGCGAGTCGGCGGCGGCCGCGCCTGGGTCATCCTCCTGGTGCTTGGTGACGCTGGTGCGCGCAGTAGCTGCCCGTGCCATGTCGCACCGTGTACTGTGTCACCGATGCCAGTGCCAGCAGGCCGCGGCCCCGGCTGATAACGCTGGAGATACGAGCCGCGCCGACGCCGGCGCACGCGACAATGTTTGCACGCTCGGTCTACTACTGGTCGATGCAGCGCACGGCGCGGCTCGCTGACTACTGCTGGTGAATGGTGGCTTCACTTTCGAGGCTCTGCTGTTATGCAAAGTGTGACGTATATTTTAGCAAACGAGTCCTTCCGGAAATACTAGATAGGTATTCATACATAAAGTTATATTTTAGACAAGCAGATATACAATACATAATATATATCAAATACAAAACGTATAAAAATAAAAAGATAGATTAAGGACCGCCATCGACTCGGACCGTGTGACCAAGATGCAAAAATTGAGTCCCATAAATTAAGGGGCTGAGTGTTGTCCACAATATTCGACAAGTTTGTACTTATTATAGACAATTTCTGAGAACCTCATAAGTAATACTTACTTTGCTTGAACCCAGGAATCGACTGATGAAGTCAAAAGCCTTGGCAGTTTTGTTTGTAACTACTCGATCCACTGAGGTGCCTTATCTAGCCGGAATTTGGTGAATGTTGTTTGTTATTGGGATACGAGCTTAGAGCTAATTGCTACACCACACACAACTAGGTTATATTTATGGAAGTGTGAATTTGGACAGAATTAAGCTTTTAGTGTAACTACTGATAGCAGCCGGTATCAGCAATATGTAGTGTATCACACACCCAGTGCCTCACAATGATATGTCACTCTTGTACCTATAGATAGCATGTGTCGAATGTTCCTCAAACTATTCCAGGTTGTATTTGTAGCCGACATGTGTGGGTACATGCGGTATGTATCCTTTAGATTCACACAAACAGTATAATATTGTGTTTATGTCTCACCACAACCACAACAAACTACATCGAGACACAAGTACACAGACGCCTGCAGGCACTTCCTGCGCGAGCGGTGTTTGTGTCGTTTGCGCACATTCACTACCTAACATGTTGTAGGCGCACACGTGTGCTCACAATGTTATTAATGAACCGTACTGTTAGTGAGTAACTGTGGCCTCCTCTACATAAGAGGGGTGAAACTAAGAACACAATTTAATCCCAAAACTGTACGTAGATCGGTTTTTAAGAGAAGCTCCACACATCTAATGTCAGAATAATAATAATAATTTATTTATTTGCGAAAAACACGGTATACAACGTTGTTAAAATAAATGTAAAGTCCAGCATGTTTTGCTTACAATTAAAGCATGCAAACTTGTAAGTGTCTAGTCAAACACTATAAAATCTTACAAATAGGAAAAACTAAGGTCTATGTTCCAAATATTGCCTAATACTATAGAAATTATATTGCGTCAACAAATTATACAATTCAATCTTAAACAGTCTACAATTCGCAGTTTTCAAGATATTTGGTACTTAGTTTATTGAATACACAAATACACATAGCTGGACAGCTCTTATTGTATTTCACTATCCTAGGAATCTCTTCCAGTACAAGTCTGTGCTGTTGCTGATCACGCCGACTGCGTGAGCTTACTTCTTCTACTGTTTTAAATAGCTCTATATGTTTTCGTACAAACATAGACACTTCATACAGATACAATGATGGCAATGGTAGCAGACCAAGTTTTTTAAAGATGGGTTGACATGATTCATCCGATGGGATCCCCTGAATAGAAATCTATCTTTATCCAAATACTAGCTTCTGCCCACGACTTCGTACGCGTAATCCCATTTTTTCCCGTCCCCGTTCGTGATTTTCGGTAAAAAGTAAAGGTCTAAGCTACCTCCCTACCAATTTTCAGTCAAATCTATTCTGCTGTTCTTGAGTTATAAGTGGTGTAACTAACACGACTTTCTTTGGCTGACTTAATCTATTCGAAAAGTCGTGTCTATTGAGATCTATTGATATTAGATTGAAATTGGTTATTAGGTAATTAAATTCGACGGTAAGAAAGAACGTTCATTGATAGATTAAAAATGCTCGGTTGGCACGGGTGGGTGTCGCGGGTTTGATTCCCGCAAGCAATGCTTTGTTTGTGTAATTATAATATTATTGTTAGATTACCCACAACACAAGAAAAAAATGAATACTGCGGCACGTTTTAAAATATTAATGTAAGAAAAAAGACAAATAACTTAAATTCCATGCACGGGAACGTACTTGTGATCGTGATTGTTTATTACCACTAGAACGCCTGTTAGCGTTGTTGTCACGTGTTAGTTGATTGTGTCAAAATCTAACTTAGGTATATTTATTTATTTTTGCGCGTAGCATCTACTTAGTATCGCGTGATTACAATATGATGTACGATGACCACACGGCTGAAGACCTATAAAAGTAACATAAATATGTTAGAATTAGAAAAATGATAGCGAAAATTTGTCGTTGTTATGCAGATAAGTGATTTTATCGTTGACTTGCCACGGAATTGTACAAAGGAAAGGAAAACCAGCATCGTGAGGTGTACGTACGGACCGTGTTATGGTGGTGTTGTCGTAGCGGACGACGCGACGCGAGCGAGTCTTGTCGGTGGCCGTGTGTGTGTACGCTAGCGGTGCTCTAATTGGGACCGCGCCAAATAAAACTCATAAAAAATATCTGCTGTATGGTCAATTGGCATCACCTTAAATATCATGTTTAACTAAATGCGAATAACCTACTACAATTTATTTTAGTGTTTACGCTATACCGAGCACGTGGCGACGGCCTGGCTTCCGTGAACTTAATGTGTCAATAACAGATGAATCTTAACAGTAGGGATTTAAGATTCATTTTAGTCTGAGATTGTGATATCTCCGAAAGGGTCAACTGTCAAGCGGGCTACCTATCTCGTTTTCGCTATCAACGATAGCCTGAAACAGGTGATCCTGAAGGCGGCGGGTGTCGGCGGGTGTCGGCGGGTGTCGGCGGGTGTCGGCGGGTGTCGCGGGTGTCGCGGGTGTCGGCGTAGGCGCGCGTCGTCCCGACTGCTTGCTCGGCAGCGGCACAACCTCGCCGACCTTCTGGCTGGAGGGACGCCGCCGCCGCGTCACTCACAACCTCACTTAGTTGCGCGCTCGTGCTAACTTTGTTGACAACCGTCGACTTAGACATAAATAACAGCTCAGTACAGCGGGATAGTGCAGACAGTTGACACAGTGCAGTGGCAGCGGTGCAATGTCGGGCGCCACAGTGCTTAGCGAGGAGTGGAGCTCAGGCTGGGGGCGCTGGCAGGCGCGGCTGGCGCTGCTGCTGGCGCTGCCGGTGCTGCTGACGGGAGCGTACGGCACCAACTACGTGTTCCTCGCCGCGCCCACGCCGCACAGGTAATACTATTGCCCGACCTTTGATCGTACATTTAACAATTAGCATGCTTCGAGTTATTTTTATTTTTAATTCGGATTTTTTACAAAATTAGTTAAAAATTTCAGTGACTTATTCATACAATTTAAATTATTTGTTCACTTTTAAAACTAGGATTTCAGATGTGGTGTTTATTTATATCTTTAAGTGACTACCATAAAATAAATTGAAAATATTTTCATTCATCTTTAGCAATTAAATAAATATTTCTCGTTTCATTAAATAAATAATAAATAACTTACGATACACTAATTGCATATATTTATAATTTTTTATTTCTATAAGAAAAATAGAATTTATCTCAACCTCAATGAATTTGTCCGTAAGTCATCTCATTGTGAGCTGTGCCTATTAACATAACGGAACAGTATTGATGCGGGCGAGCTTTTATAATAATTAGAGTGAATGAATTAGGCCACAGAGCGTAATATGAAGTAATGAATATTTGTAGCATAATGCGCGCGCGACACGCACACTGCGTGCGCTGCGTGCGCTGCGTGACATCGCACGCGTCGCGTACATCTCCACTAGTACAACCACAGCATAACTGTCGACAGAGCACGTACTGGAGCTGTACTCACGGCTCGGGCTCAACAACCAATACCAATATGGAAATAATATCTAAATATCTCCATTGAATGTGGTTTTTATTATTAAACTGTCAAACACCAAGCGGTCACCGGTGACCGCGACCTATTGTTCTTTAATTGTGTCTATAAATACGGTACTCGACGAGTTAATACTGTAGCCACTTCGTATATAACGTTTTTAAATACTATACTGATTTTATGAGAGGTAAGTTGTCAAGTTGTCGAGCTTACCCGGGTTGTACAGCATAGTTACCCACTACCGAGACAGCACGGCCTGTGAGCACCGCCCGGCGCCCGCTGTATCACCGGGTAATACTATACTACTGCAAACTGTACCCGTAGACGAGTTCGTCTCCACAGATATTCAACTTATTATTTTCTGCATTATTCGAAGAAGGTACAGTTTCTTGCTCGTTCTTCTCCATTCGAATCTACATTTTGCAATGGGCACCAGCTTCACTGACGGATTGACTGAAATACTATTATTTATTTTGTATTTGTTGACGTTTCAAAAGTACCTAATTATGGTTTAATTGAAATAAATGCTTTGACTTTGACTTTGAATAGTCGGCAGTTGAAGTAGTGGACTCAAGTACATCCCACGATACGCGTCTCTACTACATACTCACTCTGCTACTCCAGGGAACATACACAATTTTTCGGTTTATGTCCATAATTGTTAGATTTGCCTCTTAATTATGTGTGAGTGTTAAACACAAAAAGCATGCAATAATATAATACTTTCAAAGATCTTTAAGATTGCATAAAAGTGACAGAATATAAAATTACTTGACATCGATACTTTCAGTGTTTACGGTTTTCACTGCGACCCATGGTGGTGCCGTAGCACCAGTGCCGTAGCAATATGCAGTAAAAAACACAATGCTTTAGCTTCCTGGCGTAGCGAGGGGGTAGTAAAGTCGTAGCAGCAGCGGCGTAGGTGGTGTAGTTAAAGCGTAGCAGCTACGTATCGGCATCGTAGTTGTAGCGTAGCAGCAGCGTAGCGATGGCGGTGTAATTGAAGCGTAGCAGCTGCGTAGCGCTCATGTAGTTGAGGTGTAGCAGCTGCATAACTGCGGTGCAGGCGAGGCGTAGCAGCTACGTGGCGGTGATGTATTCGAGACGTAGCTGCTGCGTAGCGGTGATGTAGTTGAGATGCAGCTGCAACGAGCAGCATCTTAATAGAGGTGTAGCAGTTGCTTAGCTATGGTGTAACGACTACGTAGCGGTGGCGTAGCACAAAGACATAGGTCGCACTCTAGTACGACTAGTACCTATTTCATTCATAATAACACAATGTAAGCTACACCTAACTTGATAATGACTTGAGTAATGGAGGTCGTACATCATGCATGTGTGCGTGTGTCGGCGCGCCGTGTGCACGCACCGCGCACACGTGTCGCGGGCGCGTGTGTGTTTGTTTACTTAGTGGCCTGCGAATATTGGTAATATACATTGTACCTCCAGCGTTGTAGTTGTTATCGTGGCCGCTCTCATTAGCTACTGCTAATGAGAGCGGCCATGCTGTAAGCTCTAGATCTCTTGTATTACTATACAACATTCTCCGGCTGCGTCCGCCGTGCAGCTACTTCTCGTATTGTCGAAATTCCATACAAGCATTGTGTACTTACATCGTTAAAGTTGAAGTTGACATTAACGGCCGCAGTTTTATTTTGCAATACTAAACAACAACATGTAAACAAGTATGTAGGCTCACCTAATGCTCGTATCGTGGTAGATAAGGCGGCGGCGGGTTATCTCAAGCCGCTGCCGATGACCGACTTTGTGGGAATCGTTTGTTTCTTAATCAATCGCGTGGTTACCTATCTGCTGAGCTGACGGTAGCTGCGTGTATCGCGCAGTGAATGCCCGCAGGGCAACAGGGCGATAGCAGGCGGCGACGTAGCTTGCAGTAGCCGCCGCACCCATTTAGAATACAATGCTACTGCGGTCAGCTTTGACTCATCTTTCAATACTGCAACATTTTAATTCCATCAGCCATAAACTTCCATCTAACATAATTCCTACCTCTAACCCGGAGGTTAAGACGCCCGCTTCTCATGCATGAGGTTGCGGGTTTGAAGCCTACCAATGGCAAGTACCAATGTGAGTTTTTCCAGGTTATATTTACTTTCTAAGATTACCTAGACATCACTGACAAACGGTGAAGAAATACATCGTCAGGAAACCTGTTTGAAATCACTAACCCGCATTGAGCAAGCGTGGTGATTGAACTCAAACCTTCTACGTGCGAGATGAGGCTTTGCTCAGCAGTGGGCACTTATAGGCTGTTGATGATGATGAACCATAAAGTAATGCTGTCTGGATAGACATCACGCCCCAAGTTTTCCGCACCGCACCTGTACCTACTCATCCGCTATTTGTTATCAACAACACGTAATTTTCCTATGTTTATAGTCTATAAACCAGTTCCTTATTGGTCAATATTTGTCCTCATTTAAATATTGTTGATGTGACAAAAAGCGCGACTTTGAATATTTAGATGTACAGACACGTGACCGGCCAGCTACCGGCGCTGCGCAGCGCATGCGCTGCCCAACAAAAATGTACTTCATTATATTCAATTAGAATACAATTATAATAAATTACATCACTATGTTGTTTCGGAAACAAAAATACAGATGTCAATCTATAAACTACAAAATAATTACGATCAACAGTTTGTCGTCTACCTTTACCTACCGTTTAATGTCATCCATATTTACACACACAACAACATCACGCCTTTTATCCTGGAAGGGGTAGGCAGAGGTGCACACTAGGCCAGTTAATGCCACTGTACAATGTAACACCCACTTTCACAATTTAAGATATAAGTCCCATGTAATAGGGGGTGAACCTATTGCCATATACCGGGCACATTTCCAGGCTCCTTGCTACTACTGAGAATTTAAAAAAATCTAGTAATACTTTGCCTGACCCGAATCGATCCCGAGACCCCTTGCCCGGCAGGCGCACTTGCGACCACTCGGCCAACGAGGTGGCATGCCTACGAGGAATAATATCTATACGTACAGATTAATAAAATCGGAGTGTCTGTTTGTAATACCTATTAAAATAACCGCTTTTTACTACATACATATGAATATACCTCTATGTATACATACGATACACATAGCGAAATATTTTTTCTATTTTTTATTGGCTAATCTCTGGAATGGCTGGACCGATTTGGCAAGACTTTTATTGGCAGGTAGCTGATGTACTAAGGAGTAACATAGGCTAACATAGCATAACTTTTATTTTGGAAAATTGAAATAATAAAAGTTTTGCTAAAATTGATATTCGTATGCGTTTGTTATCTCTAGTTACAAGAGATCGACCCAGCATTGAACCCAGCGGCACTCTCTTGGCGATTGTTGATTTCCATTACGCGTGTACATCGCTTCAGAGATGTAATGAACATGCAGTTGTGCTCTGGCTTGACTTTTATCGTACGACATGCTCCGCACGTGGCTGGCAAGGACTCACTACAAGACACAAGCGTCCTGATGTTTGTTGCAGCAGGTTCATTCCTATCGTCACTATTTTATTTATAAGTTTATTATCGAACATTTTTTTGTCAACAAACTAATTTGCAGCCGTTTAATTTTTTGCACTACAGACAGACTTGTTAATACGCGTCTTGATTGCTTGTTTCGTGAGAGGTAATAGAATACCAGAATAAACTATTCAATTACTTTTTGTTGTTGTTTATATCCAAGACTGGCAAAAAATGACCGTGAATTAAGTAAAACGCCTGAGATGTTAGTTTTTCGTTGTGTGGGCTTTTTCATTTGTCCATTCCCTTTGATCGTGAGAACTTTCATTGCAGAATGAATAATCACGACATGTTTGCGTGTACACTTGGTTCCCCGCCCGCCGCCGCGCTGGAGCTGGGCCTCACGCGGCCCATGCCTGCCGCACCTCGCTCGTTCGGACTCATTCTATTCTATTTGGGTGCGCGGTGAGCGCCCACAGTCGAATGTCTGCTGTGGGTTTCAGCACGATAACAGTTCACGGTACATATTTTATACGGAAGTAACACTAAAATAAGTCGGCAGACTACTGGATGTACAAAAATAGATTAATGAGCCAAGAGTAATTGACCGACTGGTAATTAGTGGAAGCGCGTGCGGGTGCGAATATCTCATCTGCCACGTACTTGACAGTTCCCAGCAGTATCACATTTGTGTGTGCGGGTACTTGTCCCCGGAACAGAAGCGGGTCAGCACGCTGTGGTGCGTGGGTGGATGCGGAACTCATTACATTCAACACCTAGTTTGTTTGTTTACGTACTGTCGACTGGTTTCTGTCAAGTGTTGCCGCTGGCACATGGCGCCGGAATAATAACTCGGCTGGGTCACGCCGGCTATAGCGCGAGTCCACGCGGTCCTCATGCAGAATGATAGTCTGATTGCTAATAGAATATTCGTTTCGTTAAAAATAATTAAATAAACACCAAGTAGAAGAAATACAAAGCTGTATAAAATGGAAAATGATATATTTTTAGTAAGTTATTTTTGTGTTTACAAAGTCAAAGTAAATTTTTCGTAAAATCTTCAAAAATAAAACTCGTATGGCGGCCGTTGACCCCTGCATCAGTTGTAGTTTCTTATTTCTATTGAAATAAACTCCTTGTAGACTAGCTTTCCTTTATGACTCGCGACGGACATGTTCGTAATTTGGATAATTTTCGTTTAACTATATTTTTTCCATCGATAATGAAAGTTGTTACATTTAGTAAGTGGTGCGTTGTCTCTCCACATGACCGGCATCACGTGTCGCCCGCGGCAGGCCGTTACCTGCTACTGGGTTGTACATCTACCCGTTACTATCTCTATGTACGTAACTATATACATGTCATACATACACATAGCAAGCAGTTCAGTCAACAAACTGTAATGGTTTCTTTAAACATAAGTATGTAGTCAACTAGTCTAGGAGACGCAGGTGCTTGGCACATGATCCCAGTAGGTCATGATGTGCTCTGTAGGTACCTACTTGCTATCTAAATGTTATCTACACTAGCAGAATAGAACACAATGGACTCACACAAGCTTACGACTAATTTTCTCCTGTCTAATATTAATCTCAGAGATTATTTTTTCTATTCGCACTGACATTGATAAGTAGTGATGTGGCGAGGTTGGGTAACGAAGTAGGTATCGGAAGTAACAGATGTACTAGTCCAAAATTACACCAATACATTGGATTACACACAGGTAGAACCTAATTTTTTATTTCTATTCGAAATTGACAGTTTACCACGCGCAGCATGGATTGGGCACCTTGCTTTAAGGAGTGCCGGTCCGAGGTATAGACACACTGGTAGGCGCTTTAGTAGTTTTGTAAGACATGCTCGGAATACTTATAAGCTAGTGATAAATATGCAAAGCTAGTGGCGCTGTTTGCGGCGCGATTATATTGCGCTAAAATGTGTAAAGTACTTGGTTATTAAGAGTCGAATTTATGAGAAAATGCCTTCAAATGTACGGGCCGCAATCACTGGGGCCAGCACATGTGTTACATTGACTAGGGTTAGTTTTTTATAGCGTTAATCCATTGAACGCAATTCAGTGTGAGCTGCTTGAAGTTATCTGACGTGGTGAGTTGTGATGGTTGTCCCAGATGCCACGTGCCGGAGTGCGAGGGCAACACCTCGATGGGGGTGGCGAGCTCGGAGCAGTGGGCGGCCGCCGAGTGGACGCAGTGGGCGCTGCCGGCGGACGAGCGCTGCGAGCGCTGGCAGCCCAGCCACCACGCATGCGCGCCGCACGTCTTCGACAACACCAGCGCCATCGCCTGCGACTCCTACGTCTACCAGCACGGCAGTAGCATCGTGTCTGAGGTACCTGAGCCCTGTATCTTCATGCCTGTGTCAGTGTGGTGCTTTAAGCACCAACAAGCTCGTCATGGCTTAACGATTTAGTACGATATCAATAATCAAATATATAATATAATCTCCCTCTTGAAAACAGTATAAAAGGCATGCAATATTGTTAAAAGAGAGCGCTTGAGAAATACATTGTACAAGCCCTACAGTGTGCGCACACCTATTTGGGTGATAAACATAAAACGGGTTGACACATCGTTACATAGGTACACCAGCAACCGCTGCAACAAGTTAGTATGGGAAGTGGTCACACTTGGAGGCTGTCTATTTATGTCTCTTAGAACGGGTTGGAAAATATTTCTGCATTTGCACCGCTAAACAGCCGGCAACTTGTACCTGTGTGCTTGTTGTACGTAGGTACTTAAACTATCGGCTGCGGTTCATGGGAGGTTGTAGTTCTCATAGAATTATGTTTTTTTGCAGTTTTGAGCATTTGTGTTGGTTGTGGAAGAAACAGGTTTGGGCAAGTGGCGCACACCACGTGACGATGACTCACTCTGTCGGGCCCATGATTAGAATGTGTCACATGACCGACAGATGGTCCGCTGCCTACAAGCAATTCGTTGACCCTACGACTATCCCACAAACAAGTTACCCGCGACGATCACTTTCTCATCTTGTTGCTCACTTTGTTTCCAGTTCGACCTCGGCTGCCAGGAGTGGAAGCGCTCCCTGGTGGGCACCGTGCACAACATTGGCATGCTCATATCGCTGCCCATCATGGGTTTCGTCTCCGACAGGTAACGACGACAAGAAGCTCATTACCCTAGATGCTAGATCTGCATAAATGGATGTTAAGTCATTCGTGTACAATGAGACGTTTAAATATTTGCTTGAACTATAGTACTCGTATGTTTCGTGAGGAGGGCTAGTGGTACGCGGTGCGACTCGTTCATTGGTCTATTTCAGTGTCGGTGCTTATATTTTTAACCACTACCCGTACTCTTGGTCGATCAAAAATGAGTCGAATGTGTGGACTACTAGAGTTGTTTATCTCGTGCGGTAGAGGTTCTGAGCAAGCACGGGATATGATTAAGTTATGTAAATAACATTCAAGAGCTCGTGATGGCATTCCTCGCGCCATATTATTATCTTGTTTGTGCCATGTGTCTAATATTATGTGGGCACATATACTATGGGGTCTGACCTTGAGATATCTTCCACTCTGAGATGATAAGAGACTCGGTCCCGGAGGAGGGAACATCCTCCTTCAGACTTAGTGTGTGCCTACATATGTATAGAACACAATAATGTAAGTGTGCTATGTATTATTAATGTAAGATAGTCAGAGCCTGTGTGCAGTAGTATGTGTAGTAACGTTACAATACGTAATGCAGGTAGAGTTGGAAGCCAGGTAGCGACCAGAAAGTGAGTAGGTCGCTGATTGCAGATGGGGCCGGCGCACGGCGCTGGTGGTGAGCGGGTGCGGGGCGGGACTGCTGGGCCTGGCCAAGTCCTTCGCCACCTCGTACTACACGTACCTGCTGGGCGAGCTGCTGGAGACGGTGCTGGGCGCCAGTGTCTACCCCTCCGCGTTCGTGCTCAGTTAGTATACTATACTGTTGGACTAGTGGCGAGCGTAGCTAGCGTGGCGACCGCACGCAGAGAGTGACGCGAGTGTGTGCGTGCAGTGATCGAGTGGCTGGGCGTGGAGCACCGCATCCTGGCCAGCCTGGTGCTGGGCGTGCCGCTGTCGCTGGGCGCGGCGGCGCTGGCACTGGTGGACTACCTGGCGGGGTACTGGCGCACGTGGGCGCGGCTGGCCTACCCGCCCTCGCTGCTGCTGCTGCTGTACCCGTGGCTGCTGCCGGAGAGCGTGCGCTGGCTGGTCTCGCGCGGCCGCATGCACGACGCTGCGCACGTCATCAAGAGAGCCGCGGAGTACAACGGAGCGCGGGTCCCTGCCGAGGCACTGGAGAAGATGCTGCTGGAACGGGAGCAGATCGGCGGCAGCGCAGAGACCAACATTGATGAGGGCCTGTTCACAGCACTGCTCAAGTGAGTACCGTACATCTAATGAGCTATCAACTTAACTATACATTATGACTCGACTACCTCGCATTTAGATACACAGAGAAGTTTGAGAGTGTGGATATATTTAATTTGTCAAAGTTTCGTAAGTCGCTTATACAAATACTCACTAGTGTGTGACTCTTATAGCATTATTATTTTTCTTAATTATTGCTTTATATAAATTTTCCTTGATTGTTTAATTTTATTTTATATTGTTCACTCTCCTACTTTTACCTGACGCATGCTGAAAAACTCTGTTATTGGCTTTAGTTTCCATGCCTTGTCATTATTATAGATGTAGCATTTACTAAATAAGCTGTTGAGTTTTCTGTAATAAAAATAAATAAATAAATATACACTAAACCTTTGCATAAGTGTCCAGTGTACGGTTATGTAAGACATATTATATTATACACAGTTCGTAGTAGTACATAGTGCATAGGTATTATATAATAACAAACAACTTAGATGTCTGTGTATTTCTGTTTTGTTATGATGTGGTAAAGTCTAATGCGCAATTATTTGTTGTTAATTTATTGCGAAGATCTTATTAGTGAGGTATTTCTATAAATAAAACATTATGTTTAATCATCTACTACAACTAACAAATAGTTCAATAGTTATGGTGGATTAATTATTGGGAATGGCGCATGTCGTACGGACATGGACGACGTGATACACCAAATAGATAGATAGGTGTAATGTAAACAGAGCCGGGTTGTTGACGTGGTGCCGTGCGCAGGTACGGCGTGCTGCGGCGGCGGCTGGGCGTGTGCTGCGTGTGGTGGATGTCGGCGGTGTTCGTGTTCTACGGGCTGGCGGTGTCGGCGCACGGGCTGCGCGGCGCGGGCGGCGTGCACGCCACGTACGCGCTGGTGGCGGCGGCCGAGCTGCCGGCGCTGGTGCTGAACACGTTGCTGCTGGACCGCGCCGGCCGCCGCCCGCTGCTCACCGCCGCGCTGCTGCTCACTGCCGCCGCGCTCATTACCATTCCCTGCCTGCCGGAAGGTACAGTGCCCAACTCCATTGCCTTACTTCTACCTTACACCTACTTATAACTGTTGTGAGAAGGTTCGCCAGGCGTGGTCACACAGCCTGGTCAGAGGACCCGCTCTTTTAAATTAGGTAACGTCGCACCCTGTACCTTAAAGAGTCTAGTGCACGTGACGAACTGATACATATTACTGATAAATACATATTTAGATATTGATGGCATGTTAACGTTATCGCGATAACTTCACGTATTATTACATACTCGGGAACATCACTATGAGATAATTCAAGTAAATTGGTTGCGAGGTACGCCAGGGGCTTAGGTTGTTTATTTCGCGGATTATGTTGTTGTACAATGTACGAATTAGGACATAACACAATATATTCACGTGCTTCATTGTTATTGAAACATTAGGCAATCATTACTTGGGCTATTATATTATGTATGTTTCCTCATGGACAATGTTTTGTTCTGTGCTCTGAATGTTTACAAATATGGCTGTGCACTTGCTCTATGTACGAGTAGAAGTTTGTTCAAGTTCACCGCGAGTGATGGCCCGGTGCCGCCCGCCGCCCGGGCGACTGCGAGATAAGCCGCAGACAGTGAGCCGGCCGCGGTGTTATCACTAGCCCCGCGCGTGGCGGTCGCTGCCGGATGATACTGAGCCTTTGACCTCGCGGTGTCGGCACCGGTGCACTGTGCACGCATCGTCTCACATCTCCTTTAATGATTAATATCATCGCTTGTGAGGAATTTACTCTTGTGTGCTCCTGGAATAATTATACTTTGTAACGTTTATATCACAATCACATTCAGTACCTATAAACACGGTACAATAAGTTGGCATGAAAAGATGGAGATGTGACCACAGTGTCGCTGCGCTAAACATATATCACTAAGCTGTAACGTGATGTATTGTGGTATACGAATGTAAGTGCAGTGGTGGGATGTGGTGTTACAGGGAGTGGCGGCTGGGGCACGGCGCTGTACCTGGTGGGCAAGATGGGCGCCACGATGACGCTGAACGCGCTGTACGTGTACACGGCGGAGCTGTTCCCGACGCGCGCGCGCCAGCGCCTGCTGGCCGCCTGCTCCACGTTCGGTCGCGTCGGCGCCATCCTCGCGCCGCTCACTCCGCTGCTGGTCGGTACTCGCAGTGTCTACCAGTTCTCCATACGTTACTTCCACCACTCATTCTTTAAATTACAACTCTTCATGTTATTTCTCACATTATATCTCGATTTTCTCTGCTACGTCTTCCATTCTTTCTAATCCTCGCCTGTTGCTTCTAATTACGTCCCCTTAGTAGCGGTATATATATCCTCTACTCTCTCTACTTCCACACTACTCCAAAAGATTATCTATCTATTCTCCCGTAGCTGTTACCGCCACCTATCCCATTCCTCCAATCGCCGTTCTGGGTTATATTGATTGGCAATTGTCACGACTATGTACTGTGTGCAGGCGGTGTACAAGTGGTGGCTGCCCACGCTGTTGTTCGGGTCTCTGCCGTTGGTGAGCGCGGCGCTGACGCGGCTGGTGCCGGACACGCTGCACCGCCGCCTGCCGGACTCCTTCGCGGACCTGGACGCGTCCTCCCAGGACGAGTCCTCGGCGCGCGACACTCCGGTCGACGACTCCGTGTGACACGGTGTTCTGTCTAGAAATTGCAGTTGAGATGTAATGTCGACTAGCTCTCTGCTGCTGTAGACTGTGTTGTACTGTACATGTATACTCGACCTCGTTCTAGAGGTTACATTCGTGGTCGTACTGCACGCGCAGTGTTGCAGTGTGCGCCTCGATTATATTGTTATTCCTACGTAATAAGTTTTACATTTTTGAACCATCCCATTTCATTTGTTTTTGTTATTTCAAAATAATAATTTGTAAAAAAACACAAATATCTTTATTAGTGGATAAGTTAAATATTGTAAGTAATATGAATATCTACAAATTGTGTTTTAAAATACAAATGTGTAGAAACGGTGATGTAACATAGATAGGTGTACAGTAAGTACTACCTATAAATATAAAGACAAATTAATAGTGATTAACATAGTATTGTCTGCCACACCTTATATAAGTAACAGTAACGCTACGTATTAGATACTATAGCACCCAGAGGCGAATTAAACTAGATAGCGACTGCAGGCAGGCACTTCATAGTTGCCCTAATTTTTTTTAGCCCCGCCATCCCTCCCTGGACACGCGCGTCTCGTGGCGCCCCCTCGTGACGTGGCGCTGGGCACTTGCCTACTTTGTCTTAGGGATAATACGGCGCAGATAGCACCTATATTAACATAAGTATTGAAAAGACAGAACATAATATTAGTTGTTACAATACTGTTGTATGTAGATCGTAAGTATAATAATAATATGTTTGTCACCAGGCATGGTCTGTGTTACACGAGCATATAATATTATATATCATTGCAGAATCATCCGATATTGTAAACCAAAGCTGTGAGACGGCTGGAATTTTAAAATAATTTTGGTAATTAATGCAACCGATAGTGAGACTGGGGTTGTGCCTACATTATCTACTTATTTGTTTTGTAAAAACATTAAGTTAATGAATACCTACTTAATTATAATTATAGATAACTAAGAAAATATAGCAATTAATGGAAATTAAAACTTATCGTTTCATTTGTCCCTCAACGTTACGTATACTAAGATTTGATTGTATGTTTGTACGCATTAAATTGGATTCTAAACATAAGAACCGAATTAAAAAATATATCTACCATTGGAAATACTTTACTTTGAAGAGAATAGAGGAGGATGTTCCCAAAAGATCTGAACCCACTCGAGAGTTCGTTAGTATAAAATGTTTATTATTAAAATAAAATGATTCCTGTAGAGTGTATGAAAATGTTCACACAGACACAGTCGTCGCAGTGGGTGCCTGCTACAAGACGATATGTGACTCATTGCTAAATTAATTCGCCAGGAGCTGACATTATCTCAATATTAATTGTATTTAACATAAATAGTGAAAAGTGGGTGTTACATTGTACAGTGGCATAATGTGCACTTCTGCCTACCCCTTTGGGGATAAAAGGCGTGATGTTATGTTATGTTTTAATTGTATTTTCTGAAATTCCTGTTAGCCTTCTAAGGTAGGCACTGTGCCTGTGTTAGCTATAGGTTCGCCCTCCATAACATGGAGTTCCTACGACATTAATAATGTACATAATTATATATGTATGACAATGAAATGAGGCGGATTAAACCTGGACAGCCCTAAGTGAGCATAAGCACCTTTAATTTTTTTGGGGTCAAAAGGACATTGGATATCTTCACCCTGTCCTGCAGGAGGTTGTATGTTCTGCGTGTATCTGTAGAGACGTCTTCTCTTCTTCTCTGTAGTAGGTACCTAACGTACACAGAGCACACAAACACAATCTTGAAATGAACAACAAACATAGTTCACTATATAGACACTCATACGTGTTTACAAAATTTTTTTTTCAATATGTTTAGGGTAAGACGGGTAAGATTGGGACATATTCTGTTCGTCTTAAAGTAGATAATAGTATACAATTCGTAAATTGACCGTATCCAGTCAAATACTAACTTTAAACCATATTATTCGCAAAATGAAAAACAAATTACAAAAATAAAATAGACAATGTCCTTGATCTCTTGGAGAAGTAACCGGTCCACCCAGTAATTAAATAGAAACCAATTTATTTCTATCATAGATATTATAAAAATATTCTCTGAGTAAGACATAACACTTACTACTAGACAGTCTAGTGCGAGGTTGCGGCTCAGTGACCATTGTAGTGGCTAGTGAACCTCCCAGACAAATCCTGTTTACCCAGTGATACAGTCTCTCAGATTGAGCTTAAAGGAGTGAGTGGTTCATAAATATAATTCTTTAAATATTGACGCGTAAAAGTGTTACTTTGTAACCTATATGCAGAAATAAATACCATTTTTTTATGCGGTAAACGAGCAGACGGATCACCTGATGGTGAGCAATCGGCGTCGCCCATGGACACCTAGAACACTAGAGGCGTTACAAGTGCGTTACCGGCCTTTTCGGGATTAGGAGTTTGAGGATCGTTGGGGATTCAGGAATTGGGGAGATTAGGGAAGGGGAGGGTAAATGGGCCTCCGGTAACCTCACTCACACGACGAAACACAACGCAAGCGTTGCTTCACGTCGGTTTTCTGCTCGTTGGTGGTATCACTCCGGTCTAGCCGGCCCATTCGTGCCGAATCATGGCTCTCCCACACTTAATTGGTTATATCATATGAGCTTATGGCACCGACTTCTTACCTATTAGTGGGTGGGTAGCCTATCAGTACTAATAATAGTTATTTTTTGCTTTTTAGTTTTGACTTGTTGTTTTAGTTAATTCTATTGATACTTTACTACATACTACATACATATTGACAGTTCTTATGCGCGTGAAGATATTATATGAAGATCAAGAGTCTGTATTTACATAAACTACGTATGTATGTGTGCATGAAACGAATGTATAATATTTACTTTCGTGTCAGATCCGACACTTCCTTCATCCGATGATGCGAGCGACTGAGATTTACTTGACACACATTGTTTTTTATCACAGAATACACAGTAATTATATTATCCAGCTTAACACGGGCGTGTGTATTAGTGAACAACACAGGTTCATAATTAATCCCACAATAATGATAAGTCCGAGTGATGCTTTCTCATAAAATCTTCAGTAATACTAATACATATGAAAGATGGACTTGATGAGGCCTCGTACTACTTCCCTAGGCCACGTGGCCTTGTGTTGCTGTTTACTGCCTGTATAGAGATGGCTTAACTGAGAAGGAAGTAAAGAAAAATGCTTATTGTTACTTCGTATTACGGCTACTGAAAATTTGTAATACTTGAACTCGTTGTGGGAATTGCTCCCCAAGACGCCGTCGCGGAGAACCTAACGGGTAACCGGGGCTCCGGCTCGACGTGCAGGAGAAGGAACGGGGTGGTTTTTAGTCAGTAAGAGTCTGACACTCCCTCCCGCCTCACCCAGGCGGGAGCAGTGAATCGATGACTTTCCTCCTTTAAAAAAAAAGACGCCGTTTTCGGCAGTCTCACTCTTGTGATCAACGAGTCAATGTCAAAACAATAAATCTTATATCTTATCAATATATATATCATAGTTGTTTGTTTGTTTGTTTGAATGTGTTAATCTCAGGAACTACTGGTCCGATTTGAAAAATTCTTTTTGTGTTGAATAGTCCATTTATCGAGGAAGGCTATAGGCTATAAAACATCACGCTACGAATTATAGACGCCGAGTAGAGCGAGTAAAACCGCGCGGAAGTAGTTAGTTAAATGATATACAAGCATTGTGCGTTGTCTAACATACATAAATGAGGAAAACATAACATAACTCAACTTCACGCCTTTTAACCCCGATTAGGTGCCGTAATGTGCACCTCTGCCTACCCCAGGCAAAGGTGCACATTACGGCACCTAATGCCACTGTACAATGTAACACCCACTTTTCACTATTTTCGTTATAAGTCCCGTGTAATAGGGGGTGAGCCTATTGCCATATACCGGACACATTTCCAGACTCCGTGTTACTACTGAGATTTTTTTAAAACCTAGTAATACTTTGCCCGACCAGGGAATCGAACCCGAGGCCCCTTGCCCAGCAGTCACACTTGAGATAACTCGGCCAATGAAGGAGCCTTGAATGAAAGTAATGAGGAAAAGTGTATATTAAACTACACTAATAGTACAAAGAAGAAAGATTGAGAGAGAGTGTCAGACAAAAAAACTATTGACTGTCAATAGAACACTGTAAAGGCAAATGTCGGTTTAGTCGAGACCAAATTTACTATAAAAGTTTGTCAGTCTCCTTTAGGTAATAGTTTATTAGTAACGTCGCACCCACACAAATCAGGCCACATTATTAACTAGTAAAAAACTAACTAACTAGTATAAAAAAAACAAAATCCGAGCCATTATTACACGCGGATGAAGTCGCGGGGAACAGCTAGTTAGCAGCGAAATGAAGTGTTACGTGTTTAGTTCAAGATGGAAGATATATTTGTATTTTATGTAAATATGGTAGGTACGTATACTATGTAAAATATCAAATTAATATTTCGCGTTTATCCGGGTCGTAAAAACATAGAAATTACAAAAAGCAGTTGTTTGGAATGTTTGAGGAAAATGATAGAGCGCACGGTGCACAAACCCACCTAGGAATCTAGACTGAGGCGGGCGGTCGCCGCGACATGCGGGCGCGGGCTCCACCGTAATGCTACGCGAGCTTTCCCTAATCATTAGTACTTTTACTATTTCAAGTATGTTAGTGAGTTGAGGTAGAATAGTAATCAATAACATGTAGTTACCACCAGCACGTAGACTGTGAAGGTTGACTAACAATAGCTCGGCCCTGTTGCTTTCAATTAAAATATCAATTTGCAATTAAACAGATAAGTACTCATAAAAAGACTCGTAACTTATAGAAATGCTGCTTATCCAGACAAAGCCATATAATACCGACTACCTATCTATGTAGATGATGTTTAAGAAAGTATTGTATATGGCAGCTATGTAGTTACTAGTGTTGCTCGCAATGACCAGCATCCTGTGCCCGACGGTATCGTTGGTACACATCGTCCGTATGCATTGCTAA